TACTAGATATTAGTTGGAAATTAGTAGGAAATTTCTTCCTGTGAGGATGGTGATGCCTTCAGAGAATCTGTGTCTCCTCCATCCCTGAAAGTGTTCAAGTGTTCAAGGAGCATCCTGAGATAGTGGAAAGTGTCCCTGCCCATGGCAGAGGGTTGGACTAGAGGCCCTTTAAGGTCCTGTTCAACCCAAACCATTCTGTGATTCCATGAGTTAGAGATGGTGCAAGCAGCTCAGAGTTGTGTCTGTACCTGCTATTGTGAGGAGCTGTGCTGGCACAAAGGAGATCACCCTTCCTTTTACATTTTGGGTGACTGTGACCTGTGTTCACAGGGGTCTTAGGATGAGGGAAGAGATGAGGATCTGATTCCATGTTTCAGAAGGCTTGAATTATTATTTTATTATATATATTATATTAAAACTATAGTAAAAGAATAGAAGAAAGGATTTCATCAGAAGGCTAGCTAAGAATAGAAAAAGAAAGAATGATAACAAAGGCTTGTGTGTCGGACAGAGAGTCTGAGCCAGCTGAGTGTGATTGGCCGTTAATTAGAAACAATTAACATGGGCCAATCACAGATGCACCTGTTGCATTCCACAGCAGCAGATAATCATTGTTTACACTTTGTTTTTGAAGCCTCTCAGCTTCTCAGGAGGAAAAATCCTAAGGAAAGGATTTTTCATAAAAGATGTCTGTGACAGGTGACTTTCCACATCCCACTAGCCCCTGACCAGAGAGTTCCCACCCCATCCCCATCCACAGAGGCTCTGTCAGCCTCCCAAATGGGCCGAATGAGCCTGTCTGGGTAATTAGCAATAAGGGAAAGTTGTGTCCCCTCCTGGCTGTCCCCAGCTGTCCCAGTCACACTGTGTCACAGGCCTGGCTGTGGGATACACGTATCCGGACATGAAATCATGTTTTTGCAGCGCGCTCATTTCCTCCCGTTTGGCCGCGGGTGCCTGCAGGCCTCGCGGCCTCCCCCCACAGATCCACCCCACAACCAGCCCCACAGCTTTGGCTTTTCTGAGGGACACGAAAAGAGAAGCACAGACCAACCTTTGGACTCACTGCAGCCAGGTCAAAATACCCCCAGTAGCAGCTAAATCACTCTCATCTTCTGTAAAATGGGGAATTGGTGACGGTCCAGAAAAGTGAAATCAGAAAAGCGGCCTTGGCGTGCCAAATGCAGCCAGGAAGGTCAGGGGCCGGTGGTTTTTTTCTGCCTTCTGGAAAACAGGGTGAGGGACTCTGGCTGAAATTCATGTGGACTTTCTTTTGGGAAGGGTCTCCTCTGGGTAAGGGGAGTGATAACTTGGAGGATCTCCATGCTCCATCCTCCTCCTCTCTCATAGATGTCTTAAATCCTTTTATCTCCGGGCTCACGGCATGAAGGGATCACTTGTCCCCTGCAAAAGGACTTACTGTATCTTTTGTGAGTGATTTTCATGCTGAAGGGGCCCCAGACATAATCCTGTCCTGTCTGGCTGTTCTTACCAGGGCTTTTCTCGTCCTTCAACCAGATCCTTTTCATTTCTTCTGCTGGGGACAGTTGTCAGGCAATACTGGCCACCAGCCCAGGCAAACAGGGGCTCGTTACCAGTTATTACCCTTGGGTCCAACACTGCAATTTGGCACAGGTGGCTAGTGAGGGGGGAAGACATTGAAAAAAAATCCCATTTTCTGGCATTTGAAAGAGATACAGTATGTGTGGAAGGAAAATAGTGACTCCTGGGACTGTGGTGCTTGCTCTGTAGCTGTTTCTGCTTTGGAATCAAGTTTGCAATGGCTTAGCCTAAGCCAGGTCTTCTGTGGGTGGTGACCTGCAAGATATAAAAAAAAAAAAAAAAAAAAAAAAGGCAATTTTTCTAAATGAAATGCATTTTTTCCTAAAGCTGCAGTGAGACAGAGTCCCTGGACAAACAACAACATTAAGCTCAGAGCAATAAAGCTGCAGGAAGGTATTGAGCCCCGTGACTGCAGCAGCACCTGGTGCAGCAGCAGAGAGAACACAGTTTAATTTAATGCAGCAGGATAGAAAAGGAAAATTATGCTGACAGAAAGGTGCCCCAAAACCTGCAGGAGGGGTGTGGAGATGGATGTTGCTGCTCCTCTGTAGCTCTGTAGCCACAGCCCCTCTCCACTGGTGTGCTTTAGGTCCAGCCCATGATGCTTGAATCCACTTAAATCACTGGTCCTGGCTTAATGAGGAAGAATAAATGGATTTTTAATGTCTTTTGACCTTAGTGAAGGGGAACACTAGGAGTGGATGCAGAGATACAGAAAGATAGAATACTAATGAGATTTTTGGCAGCAACTTGAGTCTTGGTTCTTCTCCCAGTCTTTTTTTTCGGGGGGGGGACTGTGTCACTCTGTGCCCCAAAAAAGACCCTGCTACCACCCCAGCCAGGACTAGCCTGGAGAATCTCACCAGATCTCTCCATTAGCAGAATAACCCCTTGCTTTGGGCTTTTGCTCTCAGTTTTTTGCTAAAAGTGGTAAAATCCTATCTGTATCTCCCCAGGGTGGGACAGGAAAGTGCTGGGGCAGGGATCCTGGTTCCTTGGATCACAGGGTGGTCCCAGCTGGCCACCAGGACTGGCCCGCAGCCAAAGCAGGGTGCTGTCCCCTTCTCTTGGACTGAGTTGAATTGAATTGTCTTTTTGACCTCTGTTGGGAGCCTTTAGTTTCTGCCCCTCTGGGATGAGCCTGGGGCATGAAGAGGAAATGAGAGCAGTGGGGGATTTCGTCTTTCCTTCCTTCCAACCCTTTCTTTCTTTACATCTCTTTTGTATTGTTTCTACCTTTAGGGGATTTTTTTGGTACCTCTTTTGTTGTCAGACCCCCTGCCAAACTTTTACACCCTATTTATGAGACAGACCCATTTTGTGGCTCACTGGATGCCTGGTCTCTCCCCAGCTTGGTGCAACCATCACTGATAATTCAAGCCACACAAATTGATAACACAGATAAGGAGGTGGTAGGTCAAAAGTCCCTTCTATCTTCAGCAGCTGGGTGGGGTTTATCTGTCAGGACCCTGTGATGGTGTTTTACTTCTTCACCTCTTCTTCTCCTGCAGACAGTGGTCAGCCTATAGGAAACATGACTTATCTCCACAAAAGCCCTTTTCCTGCAGATGTAATGGAAATGTTTTCTCACCAGCCAAGTGTTTCCTAAAATAATTCATGCTGCTGCTTTCAGTTACACTCAGATCCTGATTGTGTTTCCAGGAGTGGCTGCTCTTGGTGGCTGGTGAGGAAACCATGTTTTGGGAGGAGATCTGCACTTTTACAAAGGCACAGAGTGACACGACAAGGGGTGATGGCTTTAAAGGGACAGAGAGCAGGGTTAGATGGGATACTGAGAAGAAATTCTTGTCTGGGAGGGTGGGGAGGCCCTGCCACAGGGTGCCCAGAGAATTTGTGGTTTCCCCATCCCTGGAAATGTTCAAGGCCAGGATGGATGGAAGCACCCTGGGATGGTGGAAGGTGTCCCTGCCATGGCAAGAGGGGTTGGAATGAGATGATCTTTGAGGTCCCTTCCAACCCAAATCACTCTGTGGTACTGTGATCCCCCTGAAATGGTCAGGCAGTTGTATGAGCTGATCAGTGCAGGTCCATTCCAACTGAAATATTCTATATTCCATTTCATTCCTTTCCATTCCCTGTTTGGATGACTATGCAAGGCCCAGCCGTAGCTCCTCTGCCCCCTCCAAACCCACTCTGTCCCCAGGCAGTTCCCACAGGAACCCAAACTTGTTGCAGCCTCCCCATCCCAAACCCCATTCCCCAGCTCCTTCTCAAGCCAGATCCTGACATGGTGGAGGTAAATTTTCCCACCAGAAACTTGAGCTTCATCATGCACAATGAGTGTCAATAGACAGGCTCTGTAAGAGAAGATACTTTGCCTGCATGCCAGCATGGAGGAGCAAAGCAGATTTCTGGAGAGCAGCATTAGGCTAAAAATCAATCCTTGGAAGTGTGACTCCGGTTTTGGAGGGTTGGAAATAATATACGAATTCTTCATGGGGAAAAAAATAATTAAATATAGCAGTTCTTGTATACAGTCCCCAAGTGGAAGAACTTTCTCCCCAAATCAGGTCATTGCTTTGACTCCAGAGGGATTCATGGATAAAGTGGCTCAGCCCATGTTTCCTGAAAGGTGAAAAATTGGTCAAACTTTTCCAGGGGTGAATTTGAGCAAGAGCCCAGAACTGGTGATTGCCACATAGGGAAATTCTCTCTGGCCAATGATGGAGCTCCTGCAGTGATTACAAACAGAAGAATAGACCTAGGTTTTTATACTGGTTTAGCAGTGAAAATATCCCATTTTGGCATTGCTGCACATTGCAGAGCTCTCTGCAGTGGGAGAGTTCTCTCTTGTCAGGTGAGCTGTCCTTCAGCTGCATCCCCCACTGAGGAACAGCTTCATCATTTGAAAGCTTAAAGTATTCTCCAGAAACAAACACAGATCTCTTTGCATGTGATAATGTGAGGTAATTTGGCTTCATGATCTTGGAGGTGTTTTCCAACCTTAATGACTCTGTGATTCTGTGTCACCTTATCTCTTTCAGCGATGGGGGAGACCCTCCTAGCAGGGATGGACACTTGCAGTCAGTGCATCGCTTGGCTGTCCCCTTACAAGGGCTGGACCTGCTTTATTTTGGGAACCACTTGTAGGGCTTTTCATGGAAGTTGCTGGACTTCCCATCTGAGGGAAACCTGTCCTGAGACCCAGCAGGCCTTGTCCTCCTGCTCTTGCTCTAAAGTCCTGCTAGTTTGACTGTGTTTGGAGGTTCCTCTTGTCCTTCTCAGCTGTATTTCCTGCAGGACACAGTGACACCAGAACATGGAATTTGATATGACTTTGGAGAGCACGAGGCAAGCCCTGAGGGAATGACTCGTGGTTTATACCAGTGTTTACTTCTACAGATACACGTTCTGAGGGGAAACCAAGGGCAGTTTCCTTAGTTCAGCATTGACTTTGGTGTTTTCTCTTTTCCCAGATGTCAGCTCTCAGGATTCTGCAGACCTAGGACAAGCCACAACCACCAGAACTGCAGAAGCCACCACGACGACCCAGCCTACAGGCTCTAGAGAGACCACACCAGCCAGCACTACACCAAAAACTACCACACTCAAACCCACCACCACTGTCACAACTCAGACCACTGTGTCAACAGCCACCCCTCATCAAAGCATCACCACCACCCCCATAACCAGCCTGCGAGTGGCTCCATCCCCCACTACTGCATCTCCTGCCCCGGTGGCAGGGGCCGCCCTCACAGCATCAGGGAGCACAGTGCCTGCTGCCGCCTCTTCAGCCAGCACGTCTGGGCAGGACAGCCCCTCACAGAGCACCCCTAACCCCAAAACCAGCCCTGCTACAAGCCCCACTGGTCAACAGCAGCCCGGCACTACAGCCAGTTCGGGAAGCTCAGGCACCACCACTGCTGCAAAATCTGTCGTCATCACTCATGCAACCAATTCTCCAGGAGTTACAGGGGCTGTTGGCACATCCACTGCCACCACAGAGTCTCAGGGAAAGCAGCCTATGGATCAGGATCCTAAGCCTAATATCACTACAAGCACCACAGTGCCGAGGACTGACTCTTCCCAAAGCTCCAAGGAGTGTGCTATCACTCCTCCACCATGTGCCACCAAGCAGCTTACTCCTTCTTCCAGTTTTCCAGCCCAGGGACCAATCCCTTCCACCAGTCCTGGAAGCACCAAAATTGTTACCCCTCCAACTGGATCCCTGTCCCCAACCACCACTCCGATGTCACAACATGGCAGCAAAGACACAGTCCCAGATGCAACCACCATGACAGCTCCTGGGGCAGGTAACAGGGGACAGGAACCTTGGTTTCTTGTGCTGGGGAGGCCTTTTTGTGTTTTCTCTCCCTCTGGCTACCTAAGCACCTCCTGCCATTACGGGCTGTCACCACCTTGTCCCATTTTAGGCCTTTCCAGCGTGGTTGTCTGCGTGACAAGCACTGTTGTCTGTGACGGTGTTTACAGGGGTTCTTGGATGAGGGAAGAGACAAGGATTCTGAAACATGACAATGCTTGATTTATTATTTTATGATTATATTACATTAAAACTATACTAAAAGAATAGAAGAAAAGGTTTCATCAGAAGGCTAGCTAAGAATAGAATAACAAGGAATGATAACAAAGGCTTGTGGCTTGGGCTCTCTGTCTCAGCCAGCTGACTGTGATTGGCCATTAATTAGAAACAACCAACATGGACCAATCCCAGATGCACCTGTTGCATTCCACAGCAGCAGATAACCATTGTTTACATTTTGTTCCTGAGGCTTTTCAGCTTCTCAGGAGAAAAAATCCTAAGGAAAGGATTTTCCATAAAAGATGTCTGTGACAATTGTCCTCGGTGGAGGTCGAGTCAATGCAGGCAGTGAAATCCAAGGAATGAATCAAGTGGCAAAGTGCAGGCATTGGCTTTTGGATGGACCCAAGGGTGCCTGAAGCACCATCAGCTGCAGTGGCTCGATCTCCAGCGACGGGGAACAGGAGCAGCAGCAATGGACTGGGGACTGAAATGGGAGAATTGGGGAACCAATGTGACAGCCCCCAAAATGCTGCCCCTGGGAGATCCCTGGTGCAGCTGACAGCTTAGGCAAGGCTGTCTGGGCATGCACAGAAAATGAGCTTTAGATGACTAAGGGGATTTTGTGGCTAAACTCTGAGTTTACAAGCCCTGAGGAGTCTGACTTTGGTAGGACGTCCGTCAGGGCTGCGGGAGGGCTTTGGCTGCTGTCTAGGCAGCAGTAGGAGTGTCCATGTGATGTTTAGGACCTTGCTGAACACCAGTAAGGTGTTTTCTCTGACCTCTAGAGTTTTACAGTCATGGTAGCTCCTGGGTTTCCTGGTGAGGCACTGTTCAGCCTCCCAAACTGGCATTTGGTCTGGTTCAGCCTCCCAGTCTGGCATTTCGTCTGGTAGCATCCACAGGGAATCCACAGACCCTGTGAGGGCTCCATGGGGCTTCCAGACTTGGCTGGGGCTGTGGGCTCAGCTCACATCTGGCTCTGAATAAAAGCTGTGATCACACTGGAGCCCTTCATTATCTTCCCCTGGAAAATGCTCTTCTTGACCCAATTTCCAGTTACCTGGAATACAGAAGCCACTCAAAAACCATCTCCATGCCCCTCAGCCTCTCAGCTGTTGGCACCACTGAATGGGCCAAGGTTTTATTGCAAGGCCATCTTCACTGGCTTCCCCCAAGTCATGTTTTCATGTGTGGGCAGGAATGAGGTGAAAATATCCATGAAGGATGTTTCTTTTTCCTTTCTTTCCCCTCCTGCTCCACAGGGCTGTTCTCCACTGAAGGATCATATATAAAATTATGTTAATTCAAATTGGGCCTCAAGCATTTAAGCCTGAAGAGGTCTAAAAACCCCTTTATATTTAATAAATAGCTGGCAGAATTCATGAGAAACAGATGGCTTTGGAATTAATTCTCTCCTGGAGCCTTCAGAATGTGTCTGGGAGAGAAATATCCCTCATTTTTACTGTAGAAGAGGTAGGAGTCCCGAGAGCAGACAGGCTGTGAACATCCTGTGGCATTTTAATTCTCTTTGTCACCACTTAAGGATCAATTAGTAAGCCAAGGATGAAGATCCATGTCTTCAAAGGGATCTGGGGAGGCAGGAGGCTGCTGTGCTCCTTGCTCTGCTCCCACTGCACAAATAATTCTAAGATGATTCAGAGCATAACCAAGTCCTTGGAGGTGAGCTCAGGTATCAGAGACGCCTGAATGGGCCTGGGAGATCTGGGACTTGGAATACCAGGCAGGGCACACCAGGCTGTCTCCTGTAGAACCAGGCACTACTCCTAAGCTTGTCCCCCTGGAATTTCTCCATGGAGGTGCAGTCAGCAGAGGTTATGGCATCACATCCCCTCCCAGCCGTGGCAGATCCAGGTCTGTGTCTGTTGAGGAAATCTCCATGGAAGACACCCCAGATAAAGTGAAAGGAGGGTCACCCCACACTTCTCAGTGATTACCCAGCTACCCACACACAGCTGTCTGTGACAGTGGTCACAGGGGTCTTATAAGATGAGGGAAGAGATGAGAATCTGACTCCATATTTCAGAAGGCTGATTTATTATTTTATGATATATATTACATTAAAACTACACTAAAAGAATAGAAGGAAAGGTTTCATCTCAGAAGGCCAGCTAAGCTAAGAATAGAAAAGAATGAATCAACAAAGGTTTGTGGCTCAGACAGAGAGAGAGCCAGCTCTGCCGTGATTGGCCATTAATTCCAAACATCCACACGAGACCAATCACAGATGCACCTGTTGCATTCCACAGCAGCAGATAATAATTGTTTACATTTTGTTTCTGAGGCCTCTCTGCTTCTCAGAAAGAAAAAATCTTAAGGAAAGGATTTTCATAAAAAGATGTCTGTGACAGCCATCCAATGGCCTTTGGTTCCTCTTTGATGAGTTTCAGACGCAGAAAATAAAATCAGTAATCAGATTCTTTCCATATCAAAGTTAAGTCAAAAATTACATAAAATTAAAGAAGGAATCTAAAGCCTCTCTAGCAGAATGAGCTTCAAGGCAGAACTAGAGATGAAAAGTGATTTTAAGGTGATCCCTAACAGGGCTGTGCCAGCTGTATCCTCTATCCTGTGTCAGTGTCTGTCTGCTTGTTTTTTTGGTGCATGCTGGGGAGCCAGACCAGAGCACCCAGGACGCTGGACTTGCATCAGCCAAACCCAGCAGTGCCTCCCAGAGCCCTGCCAGCGCCCAGCCTGCAGCCCCAGGCGACCACACAGACCAGGCAGAGAGCTGCACCTCTGGCCACCCGCAGCCCGACATCTCCTCCTCAAACAAGGTAACAGCGCCACATGGGGAGGTGGGCACCTCTCAGGGGGGTTAATTCAGCTCCATCCCGCGTGCACGTGGAGCCTGCGGCTCTTCTTGCTGTTTCTGTGTCAGAGAGAGTGAAAATCTGCCAGCAAAGCAATTCCAGGTTGTAGAATCACAGAACTGTTTGGGGTGGAAAGGACCTTTAGAGGTCATTTACTCCCATCCCTTTGTCCTGGAGCTTTCCAGAGAAGGGACAATGAGGATGGAGGCGAAGGGGAGCGTGTCCAGGGGAGGGGTCTGGAGCACCAGGAGCAGCTGAGGGAGCTGGGAGGGCTCAGCCTGGGGAAAAGGAGGCTCAGGAGGGACCTTCTGGATCTCTACAACTCCCAGGAGAGTGCAGCCAGGAGGAGTCAGGCTCTTTTCCCAGGAAACAAATGATGGGCTGTTGGATTGGTGACCAACTCTCCTTCCAGCCTTTGTCCACCACTTAGTGATGTTTTTCTTCTGCCTTTCCAGCTCACCTGTAGAGAAGAGGTGCAACATACCAGGCCCACCATCCACCTGAAAGAACCCAGAACCTGTGTAAGTATCACCTTTTTGGCTTCCATGGAGAATTAGCAGCTGTTGGAGGTTCAGATTTCAACCTGTGGTGCTCTGAGGATGTGAGAAAATGCTCAGAAAAGAGGGAATTTCATCAAAGATGCCACCAATGTAAAATGATGAATGCAAACCCACGCTCAGCAGTGTCACCAGTGGGGAATGTGGAAGGAGGACAAGAGGCCAGCATTGCCTTCTCCAAGCAGAAGGACCAGCTCAGCCCACCCAGGTCTTACAGAAAGACAAAGGGAAAATTTTAAAGGGGAAATCTTTCCCTATGCTAGCAGGAAAGCTTTCTGTCTAAGTTGAGGGGCTGAAATTTTGTCCCAAAATCCAAGAAAAATTTGAGGTCTTCCTCTACAGTTATTGTGCACTTGTGAGATTTTGTACCTCACACTGGGCTAGAGTGGCATCCAACTGCAGAGCAGCTGGGAAGCAGAGGAGCCTGGAGTTTGGGACTCACTGTGTTCCTCAGTGGCCTCATAGAACCCTTAAATGAGAGGGAAAAAACTCCATTTCACTGGTTTCAGATCCTTTACAAGACCAGGGAGCAGTAAAATGTGGTGGGAAGGCTGGAAGCAGGGAAACCCAATTTAGGATGACACACCAGGACCCTTTCTGGTGGATGGGCACTGTCTGCTGGTGTTCCTGAGGGATATCCAGAATGGTTCTGGTGGAAACTGTGAGATTCCTGCAAAAGGGAAGATGCACTGTGCTGACAAGTTCCAAATAGGAAGAAGTTTAAAGTTGGTGATAAAGAGGAAGAGACGCCAGAAAATGGCTGGGGAGGTCCTGACAGAGTGACCTGACACTGGTGAGGTCCTGACAGTGGGGTAGGGCTCAGGGATGGGGTTTGGCATGATAATGCTCTGGTTTCTGGCAGTGTAAGCAGTGGAAAATTGGCACTTCAGGGACCTTCTCACAGCCTGTGCCATGGGCAGGGACACCTTCCACCAGACCAGGTTGCTCCAAGCTCTGTCCAGCCTGGCCTTGGACACTTCCAGGGATGGGGCAGCCACAGCTGCTCTGGACAACCTGCTCCAGTGTCTCACCATCCTCACAGTAAACAATTTCTTCCTAATATCTAATCTAAATCTCTCCTCTTTTAATTTAAAACTGCTCCCCTTTGTCCTGTCACCCCTGTCCTAAGTGAATCACAGAATCAGCCAAGTTGGAAGGGGCTCTCCCAGTGAAACCACAGTGTTCACAAAACCCCTCCAGACACATTGTAAATGCAACTCCTGAGCACAGCAGCTCTTGAAATTCCCTGTGCCTGAGTGATGGCCTTGCCTGGCAGCCCTGGGCAGGGCTTGGACCTCACAGCATCATGCACAGTGCTCCTGGAGGAGGAAAAGCACCTGCCTGCTGTCTGTTGTCACCTTCCTACTCTGGGTGTAAATGCTCCTTGTCCACACACCTGCAGTAGTGCTGATGTCCTTAGTGATGCTCTGAATGCTGAGGATGATTCCAAGGAGGGGCCTTATTTCCATGGAGCCCCAGCAGGATGGTCTCTCCTCAGACCATCCCTTCCCCATGTAATGTCTGGACACGGCTGCAGGTTCATGCTGGAAAACCTTCTCATCAAATTTTGTACTGAATATATAAAAATATTCAATCAGATGGACAAAATCCAATTTTGGAGCCTAAAGGGATTTAGGACCGGGCTGGTGTTTAAAGCTTCCCCCCTCCTTCTGGGCACAGTGATGTTCCAGAGCTGCTCTCCTTCCCATGGAGTTGTCCTGGGAGGATTTGGGAAGCAGGGATGGTGAGGCTGGGAAGCACCAGCGAGCTGAGGGATGGGCAGAAACCACATCTTGGCATCATGACCTGCGCCAGGCCCATGGAGCATTTGAGCTGGAGAGCCAGGGAGCCTCCCACCCTGCTTCCCTTTGATTCTTCTGGGTGTAAAAAGGAGCCAGAGCATTGTTAGCACAAAATGCCAATTACACCCCAAAACAGCCACAGAAAGGCTGCAGGGCTGCATCCTCCCATCCCATCACCCTCCTTGGCTGCCCAAGCACCTCCCTCTCAGCTTGCCCTTAACTTTCCACTCGTCGTATTCCTGAAAATCACAGCCCATTTTGTGCCTCCCAAGCTGAGCAGATAACAGAGAAATGGCACTATCTGGTTTCCCTGCTTTGTAGGCCTGGTAAACACGTCTGTAGCCAAATCCTGACAGCAAAGTGAAAAAATCCTCTGTGTTTCACAGCCCGTGGGAAAACAGGAAAGTGTGTGCTGTAAGAAGTGTTCCAGAAACAGCTCCAACCCTGCTCCAGGAACAAGCCAGAGTCGGGGTGGCATTGTACTGAAAATTCAGATACAGCAAGGGCTGTGTGGGGGGACCAGTGGTGGGGGACACGTCTGGATCACACAGGGAGAGGGAGAGGACAGTGCAGAGCCACCCACCCATTCACAGCTGGGCTGGTGGGGCAGCACCAGTGAGGGGGGTACCCAGCAAACAGCTGGGACTGAACCCAGGAACTGCAGAGCTTTCACCCCACCACACATCACTTTCTCCAGAAAACAAGGAACTCAAACTAGAAATCCTTTAAAAAAACAAAAAAAAAAAAGTCAAATATTGAGCTGGTACCACTTTGTGGACTGGAGGTGTTTCACAGGCTGGTGGTTCTCTGCATCCTTCCCCTTCAGGTGATGCTTTGAACCAATGCTGAGCAGGTTGGTCCATGTTCCCCCACCTTCTCCTTCCTTTGATTACAGCAGGATCTTAATGATTTTTTTAGTAAGGCTTATGCTTTACATTCCAGAGGATAACTTCTTCCTGGCTCACAAATGCCTTTTCAGTTGGGGTTTCTCCTGCTTTGGAAGGGATGGATGGAAGATGGATGGATGGATGGATGGATGGATGGATGGATGGATGGATGGATGGATGCTCTGCCTCTCTTCCCAACCCCAAAAGGAGTTAGGTGAAGCAAGAAGTGACAATGACAGAGGTGGTTGGTGTAGCCTGGAGAAAGAAATAACCAGAATTTTGCAAAGAATAACACAAAATGCAGATCATCACTAGCAAGATGTGTTCTTGAGATAGTCACCAACTGCAAATAGAATCTTTAGGAAGTTGTGTCATCCCATTGTGGTTTTGTTAATATTAGTTAGAGTAAGTCTGTGGCGTGTGGTTCAGTCCATCTCCCAGGTGTTCCTCCTCCATCGTGTCCCCCACCTGGGCAAGGAGCTGAGTCAGTGGATGAGCTGGGGAGCACCAGAACCTGCAAAAACCACAGCAGGACCACTGGAGCCCCTGGAATTGCTGTGTGACACCCGTTGGAATTGCTGTGTGACACCCACTGGTCCGGGATGACACAGGCCAGTCCCTGGGGCAGGCAGAGGGACTCCCTGGCCGAGCAGGGCCGTGTTCCCCCCTCAGCCCGTGCAGCTGGCGGGCTGGTTTGTTGACTCAAGTGCTGTTACCTCATTCGGGGATGTTGGTTTTAGGTCCCCGCCAGTGTGGGAACCGGATCCGAGCTGCTCGGCAGCTCCTGTCAACTCTGGCCAAGGAATGCGGGAGGCACAGGGGGAGCTGCCAGGGCATCCCTGCCGGCCCAGCGCCTCACCCTGCCCCTGCAAAGGGCAAATCCCTCCAGTTCACCCTGCAGAGGGCTTCAGGCACTGCCCACCAGCTGCCCCTGTAGTGGCAAAAACCTCAGTGAGGTTTTAGCCTCGCATCCCATTTCCCTTCACACCCACAAAATTATCTTCTTTTATCCCCCATGGGGTGGTAGGGGAATTAACAGGTTATTGAGGGCTGGGGGAAAGCAGAGCTGCGGCAAAACCAGGGCAAGGAGGATGCAGGGAGGCAGCAGAGGCTTTCCCTTGCTCTGCCAAGCAGAAGCGCTGCACAGACAGGGACTGGTAAATCTCAGGACATTCCAAGCGTAGGAGCACAACCCAGCGTCCAGACGTGATAAAAGCACCGAGCTGCAGCCCCCTCCTCCCTGTCCTGCTGGGAACCGGCTTCGCAGGGAATGCTGCCCTGGGGCTGGGGCACATTTCCCATCCAGCCCTTTTCCCAGGGATGGAAAAGGGACCCCACAGAGGGGCCCCGGGGAGGCTGTGCCGGTGCAAAGCGAAAGGACAGGCGAGGGACAGTGGCCGCTCCCAGGGACAGGCAGGGGACAGCGGCCGCTCCCAGGGACAGGCAGGGGACAGTGGCTGTTCCCAGGGACAGGCAGGGGACAGTGGCCGTTCCTGGGACAGCCGGGGCCTCCCCTTGCTGAGCTCTGTACCCCGGGCCAGCCTTCCGCCCCGGCAAGTGCATCCTGTCTCCACTGCTGCTTCCCAAATATTTAGATAGGATGGGGTGAGATTGGGTGCGTCCCTGGGCCCGGCAGCTCCCATCCCTGCAGTGTCCCAGCCACCAGGGGTGTTGGGATGGGAGGGGAAGGGTTGGGGTGATGGAGCAGGCAGGAGCAGAGCCTTTCCCACCTCATTTCAGCAGGGATCAAGGACTTTTACACACAGGATCACCTGTGTCATAAAAGACTTGTGCATGCAGGAGCTGTAAATACAGCACCTCTCACATAGGACCTCTCTGTGCACAGAATCATGGAATGACTTAGGTTGAAAAAGCCCACTAAGATCATCAATTTCAACCATTAAGTCAGCACTGCCAAATCCACCCCTAACCCGCGTCCCCAAGTGTCACATCCACACCTCAGGATCTGTGCAGGCAGGAGGGTGAGCACTTTAGTGAGCTCCCAGATGCTACAAAGCATCGAGCCAAAAAACAGGAACACCCCAGAGGGAAAGTGGGCTCCATCCACCCCTCTCCCACCCCTCCAGGGATGCTTTGGTTTGCCCAGAGAAGCTGTGGCTTCCCATCCCTGGACGTGTTGAAGGCCAGGTTGGAGGGGCTTAGAGCAATCTGGTCTGTGGGAGGTGTCCCTGCCCATGGCAGGGAGTGGAACCAGATGATGTTTTGGGTCTCTTCTAACCCACACCACTCCGTGATTCATTCTGTGATTCCATCCAAAAGCAAGACACGCTCTCCTGCTCTTCCCTGCAGAGCTGTGGGGAAGTTTTAGGCAGGACAGGGAGCTGTGTTGGTGGGGACAGAGGCTGGAAAGGCTGGAGATGGGGAACTGTGGGGCTGCACAGCCCTGCCCTGCTCCCGCTGCGGCCCCCTGGCCTCCCCAGCCCCCCCGCCCCGCTTCCCTTGGGACCTGCTATTCCTGGAACACCGAAAGCTGCGGCTCACAGATAAGGCTGGTGCAGGGCCCCGCTGAGGAACGGCAGCCAAGAGCTCGGCTCCTTGTAAAGAAACTCCTTTTAAACCTTTCCTGTTCCCCGGAGGGCCGGCGGCAGCCGGGCAGTGCACAGGGAGGAGGGGAGATCACAGAATCCATGCGGTTGGAAAAGACCTCTGAGATCACCTATGGGTCCAACCTATGACCCAACAGCACCTTGTCCACCAGACTGTGACTGTGTTCACAGGGGTTCTTGGATGAGGGAAGAGACGAGGATTTGACTCCATGTTTCAGAAGGCTTGATTTATTATTTTATTATTATATATATTACATTAAAGCTATACTAAAAGAATAGAAGAAAGGATTTCATCAGAAGGCTAGCTAAGAATAGAATAGCAAAGAATGATAACAAAGGCTCTGTCTCAGCTCTCTGTCCGAGCCAGCTGGGCTATGATTGGCCATTAATTAGAAACATCCAATGTAGGCCAATCAAAGATGCACCTGTTGCATTCCACAGCAGCAGATAACCATTGTTTACATTTTGTTCCTGAGGCCTCTCAGCTTCTCAGAAGGAAAAATCCTAAGGAAAGGATTTTTCATAAAAGATGTCTGCGACAACCAAACCATGGCATGGAGGGGCACATCCAGTGTTAAAGGGGTCATTCTATAAGGATGGGACATCCTGCACCCCTGGCAATGGGGCAGGGTGCAGTTCCTGGGTGGGGGAGCAGTGCTGACCCTTGTTGTCACCACAGGATGAGTGGATGGCTGCCAGCAAGAACAACTCCTTCTTTGAGAGCTTCTGCTCCACGGCCCAGCAGGCGTTTGATGCCAGCAGGGACTGGTGCACGGTGGTGCTGACGGCCTGTGAGAGACCCTCCCGCCACTGGGCCGTGAGGGTGGTCCTGCACTGTGAGTATGATCCCATCTCTGGCAATGGGGACCCCATGCTGGAGGCCCGGCAGAGCCCTCACATCTACTAGAGCTTGGTCCAAGGCTTTGTTCTGCCCCATCCCAGTGGTCTGGGAGAGGAACGATCCCAGAAATGAGCTCTGCGCCCCAAGGAATGCACCAGATCTCCATCCACCGTGTTGAGTCATGTCCATCCATGTTCCTCAATCTCCAGGAGGAAGAATTCTTCCCAGGTGGTTAAAACTGGGCGCCCAGTTTAAATCCTTCTCCAAAGACCACAGAGAGGGGGTTCTCACCCATGTCAGCTCAGCCTGGGTGTGCTCAGACACTGCTTTAGGATCAGGGTGCCTGGGAGATGCAGACATCCTGCTGCCCTAGCACGAGGGGGAGGAAGGCCTGGGCTCCATCTGCTCTTACTCATCATCGGAGCAGGAGCTGGGTGGGTGATCCAAACTCCACATCCAACCTCAGGGAAATCACCCAGGCAGTGGAGACTAACCCTTGAGGAGACCGGTACAGCCCCTCACTGGGATCACTTGTAAATCATCCACTTGAGATGGATGGTGAGGCTCTGGGGCTGTCCCCCTTCCACAAGAGATCCTGGCTCCTGGTCTGGCTGTGAAGCACTTACAAGGGTTGGCTTCATCCCCACACATCTTCATCCCCCTCCTCCAGAAACTGGGTCACCCCTCTGACAAGGGGATGGTGGCACAACCTGTCCCCTGTCCACACCTTGTGCTCACTGAAGCCTTTTTCTTCCCCCAGCTCCCCTGGACTCAGGAGAAGTCCTCATGGGGCTGATGGAGAAGAAGGACAGGTTAGAGGAGGTAAGTGGGTCCCTGGTCATGGCACGGCTGCCCCAGGGATGTTCCCCAGTGGTGGGTGGGTGGCACAGGAGCCTGACCTGTCCCTTCCGTGGCAGCTTGGCATCATCAACGTCACCTCTGACAAGATGGTGGAGGACATGACCATCAAGGACGAGTTCAGCACGCCCCTGATCATCACCATCATCACCCTGGCCGGCTCCCTGCTGCTCGTCGCGGCCATCTACGGCTGCCACCAGCGCCTCTCCCAGAAGAAGGACCAGGTAAGGAGGCAGGAGGGTGGGACAGGTATGCCAACACCTTTTCCATCCCGGAAGCATCTTCAGGAGATGAGGATCATCAGTGTTGCTGTCTCTGCTGGTGGAGACCTGGTTTGCCCAGTGGGTACCACCCTGGGTTGTAATTTTGACAAGAAAAGATTTCTCAATCCAAAACCCCATTCCAAAAACAAGCTGGGGAAAAACCAAGGGAGCTGGGGTTGTTCAGCCTGGAGAAAAGGAGACCCAGAGGTGACCTTATCACTCTCTTCAACTTCCTGAAGGGTGGCTGTGGTGAGCTGGGGGTCGGTCTCTTTCTCCGGGCAACAACAGACAGAACAAGAGGACACAGTCTCAAGCTGTGCCAAGGGAGATACAGGCTAGAATTAAGGAGGAAGTTTTTCACAGAAAGAGTGGTCAAATACTGGAATCATCTACCCAGGGAGGTGGTGGAGTCACCATCCCTCGATGTGTTTAAAAAAAGACTGGACGTGGCACTTGGTGCCATGATCTAGTTGAGGTGTTAGAACATCGGTTGGACTCAATGATCTTAAAGGTCTCTTCCAACCTAGAAATTCTGTGATTCTGTGATTCTGTGTAGACCTCAAAAAATTTTCTTGAAATACTTTTACAAGTAGTGGAGCTGGGGTGGGTGCCAGGGAGCCCCAGGCTGTGTGCAGAGAAGAAGGAGGGTGTCAGCAGGAGGGGCATCAACACTGCAGGGCTCAGCCTTTGCAAGAGCTGGGCCAGGGCCAAATTTCAGAGCAGCAGCAGCAGGATTTAAGGAAGAACCAACACAGAAAGAGAAAATAATGTGATTTTTATCTCAGGAAGCACTCCTAGGTGATTTTAGTGTAGCATTCACCTGCAAGGACTCATGGCCATTCCCACACCCTGGGGCACTGAGGTTTGCACTGGTCCCAGCTGCTGTTCCTGCTCTAGGGCAGACAGAAACAGATAATTATGAAATCAGATTATGCAATCAGGGTAAATCACCCTCCCGATGGAGAAGCAAACCTACTTCACTCCTACTTCAAATTGCTTTCCCCTGGACCAGCTCATCCTTTCTCAGCGATTCCAACCTCTGAACCACAGGAAAACAAGGGATAAAGCTTTAAATATTTACAGTGCAAGGTAGGTGAACACAGGAGGGAGGGAGGAGCAAATTAATGCCCCTGTCGGACTTGTTTGCACTTACCAGGCTTGATTTTTTGGGAAGAAACAGGGGAAGAGGCAAGACCTCAATAAATATTTGACCTGCACTGTGGTCCTCTTGGAGCCTCCAGGGTTTTATCATCCCTTGCATGAAATGCTGGCATGAAAAACGTCCCACCAGGGAGAGATAGCAGCATAACACGCCCCATGGTGTTCAGAAAACAGGTAGAAATAGGATATTTCTAGTGATGGGAACACATGTCCCTAAAATAACCTGGTGCAGAGGAATAGGTACCAGTCCAACTTGGATGTTCCAGAGGTAAATTCCCACCAGACACAGGGTAAAATAGCAAAATCAAAGCAAGGGATGCTATTTCCAAAAATCAAACACATTCCTCCTTCCTGCCTTTGTTTTTGGGTGGTTTCTTTTGTTCTCTTTCTGTTTCGTTTCCAAAAATGACTTGAAAGTTTTTTTTTTTTCCTATTTTATTTTTTTTTTCTCTCCAACCCTCCTTGCCCCCCACCTCCCTCCCTGTTGTTTTATCTTGGAAATACCCAGAACATCCACCCTGATGTCCCCGGGTTTGATGATGGACATGTGGCCCTGATCTTTAATGTGAGTTCCAACACAGGGATCGGAGGGGCGGGCGCCGCATCCGTAACACCCCCAGCTCTCACCTCCAGTGCTTGGTAGGGCCCAGGAGCTTTTAACAGGACTAAAGCCCAGCTTTACAGCCCCTTTCCCCTTGCTGCATGGCTGGAAGGTGCCTTGCCATGGTGGGAGACCAGCAATCCCACAGGGGAGCAGCACTTGGGAGAGCCCAGGTGTGTGCTCTGCTTTTTGAGCATCCCATGATCCCCACCCTGGCACAGGGAGTGACACAGGGGACTCCCAGCAGCGCCTTTGCAGCCCCTCTGCCAGCACCAAGCCCTGCAGTTTTGCTTCTCCATCCCTCTCCTTCTCCATGGATTCCCTCCCACGCCTGTCTCCTGACATTTATAGGAGCGCTGTAATAGAGCAAGCTGTGAATCCAGGCAGATTTTAACAGGGCTCCCCAAAAAGGGCTGAGCAAGGACTGCAGCACCCCACTGAATCCTTCCAGGGAAGGATGGGGATGCAGAAGCCCAAGGGAATTCAAAATTAGGACAGGCTGGGGATGAAGGGATGAAGGGCTGAGCTGGAGCCTCAAGCACATCACACCAAAGGACCAGGGGGATAAAGTGTCTGATTCCATCTTTCCCTGCCTGGTTTCCACTGAAAGTTCCAGAATGAGGAAGGATAATGCTCAAGATGTGCAGATGGAAGCTGCCCCTGAGTAAAGGAGAATAACAGAGCAACCAGAAAAAGGACAGGGGTGGATAGAAAGGGGAGGACAAGAGCAGATTTGAGGCAGGGAGGCAGGAGTTGGGATGCAGTGTTGCTCAACCTCTTCCCAAGGTCCTGGATGGAACAAACTGAAGATGGCAGCTGCTCCTGGAGGTTTTCCACATGTCTCTGGCTGCTCTTTCCTCCTTTCCATCATCAGCAGAGTCTTCCTCTTGCCAGCTCCATGCTATCCCCTCGCTGCCCCCTGCATCACCCTCACCATGAAAGTCTCTATATGTAGCTATACAACTCTATATGGGCAGCTGTCACAGCCCTGAGGTGACACTTGCAGCATGGCCCAGGTGCTGTTCAGTGGGGTTTATGGCTTTCTTTCCTCATAGCAGCGCCTGACCGAGGAGATGCAGACCATGGAGAATGGCTACCACGACAACCCCACGCTGGAGGTGATGGAGACCTCCTCTGAAATGCAGGAGAAGAAGGTGAACCTCAACGGAGAGCTGGGGGACAGCTGGATCGTTCCTCTGGACACCCTCATGAAGGAGGACCTGGAGGAAGAGGAGGACACGCATTTATAGGATGCAGAACTTCATCAAGAGAAAAACAACCACCCCCCCCCAAAAAAACTCCATAAACCCTACACACACGCACACAAAATAAGGCAAAATTCCCCCCCCAAAAAGCAGAAAATCCCTTGATGAACTAATTGTGGCCCCTTGTGGCACCACATGGGGTGCAGGATGGAAAAGGACATGAGAAGACACCTCTGGGGCACAACAACACAAGCCACTTTGGTGGCCACATCTGGCCAAGCATCCTCCAACCCCCACCCACCTCCCACACCAGCCATGGGCAAACAGGGTGGCTCTGCTCCTGAAGAGCTGCTGGTGTCTCCTCCAAGCATGTCCCCTCCCATCCCACATCTGACCACGCCATCCTCCAGCTACTGAACCACTCAAAAATCAAGAGAAATAAAATAAATAGGACAGGAGATGGAGTGCATCTGACAGCAAAGCAGCACCTGGCAATTACAGCTCGACAAATCCTCTGGCCCACGCTGTTTAGTCATCACCCTGCCCTCCCTGACACCCAGGTAGTGAATGAAAAAAGCTGGAACAGCCTGTTCCTTTTTAATCCAGTTTCCAGCCTCTTCCCAGAGCTGAAACGCACAAGAGCCCCTCGTTGTGCCATGGGCAAATGGGTGCATCCAGAGCCAGTGGGATGGCAGGGATGCTGCAGTGCCAAGGGATGCTCAGCCCCCGTGCCAAGGGCTGAGGAACAGATCCTGCACCCACCTGGTGAGAGAGGTGCAGCAGCTTCTTGTTGGAAAGGATGAGATGGAGGGAGAGGGAAAGGAGGAATTTCTTGAGTTCATCCCTCTTTAGGAAGGGTGTGGAGAGCAAGAGTGATGTCTGGTCTCTGGCCCAGGCGTGATGTTGGGGGTTTTGTGGTGCAGGAGCCCAGCTCTGGTGCTGCATTTCCCTCTGGAAGGATCATTTGCCTTCCAGAAATTACACAGCAGCATCTCACAGCCCTCACCCATCCTCCACGAGACTGTGGGACACAGGCACCACGATGGTTTGTGATTTTTGAGGGCACATTTTCCTGCACGAGCAGCAAGCAGAAGAGCAGCAGAACGTGAGCCAGGGAGCTCAGTGGCATTCAGGTGGCCTTGGTGTTTCACGCCCTCAAGGTTTAAAAGCTCAGCCTCAAGCTCTTCTTCACAAGCCACTAAAATAACAGAGACCTGCAAAGCAACTTCCAGCTCAGCAGCGAAGCTGGGGCTGGGCTTTGTCCTGCAGCCCTTGGTCTGTCACCCAGGTCTCCCTTTGCTGAAGCCTTTCAAGGGGGGGAGAAGAAAAACATGGCTGGACTGAGGCCACTTCTGGATTTTGACTCCTCACCACAGCTCGAAAAGGTTGGGGAGAGTTTCATGCCTTTGGTCTGGTGAAGCAGCTCAGTCCTGGCACAGGCAGGATCATCCTCCAGGACCAGAAGGTGACTGGGCTGAGTCCTTCTCCCAGAGTGAGGATGGAGCTTGTCCCAAACCCTCTGCAAGCCAGAGGAGCTGCAGATCAGAGTGAAACACAGCCCAAACACGGCCCTGCTCCTCTGCTTGCCATACACCAAGGCACAATGGGGACATTTCCTCTGGGCTCTGCCACCAAGTCAACCCGACTGGGATCTGCTCCCACGGCTGCCCTGAGTGAGGGGAAAAGCAGAGCCAAGCAATGGGAAGCTTGGAGAAGCCCTGGTGGAGTTGGGAGTACTCAGGAAGGAGGATTGGGGTGTTTTGCTCAGCCCCAGGACAGGAACTGGCAGAAGATACAAGTGGCTCTTCCCCCTTCTGTCCTGCACTGAAGGGCAGAGTCTGAAGTGTTCAAACCTTTCTATTTTTGTATGTAAATATTCCTGCTATTCATTAGCAATGTATTCCGCACACTTCACTTACCTGTGCACTGCACTATGGAGAAGTCATTTTGGAGGGGAGGGGAAATAACAAATAAAATAAATTTTAAAAAAATTAAAATCTGAAAAAAGCAAAAAAAAAAAAAGCAAGAAAAAGCTAAAGGCCAGCCTGGTAGGAGATACAAATTTGACATGAAGCAGAAAAACACCTCTTGCCCAGGTAACTTTGTGCCACAGCTTTGTCCCTGCTCTGGCAGCATCAAGTTCGGCTCTTTAACATGGCTGTGAGTCTCAGAGAATGGACCTGGGCATCCACAGCTGCTCCTGTGAGCATTGTGGCTCCCAGCTGCCCTGACAGACAAGCAGCAGGTCCATTCCTCACATTTCTGTCCTTCCCAGAAAACAAACACAGGGAAAACACAGGGCAGCAGCAATGCTGTGGCCACCAGGGCTGGAATTGCCACGAGGACACCCCTGGATGGCATCTCCAGGCTTTGGCATGTGCCTAAAGATTCCCCCTTCCCAGCAAAGAGATGCCAAAGTGCTTTAATGAGTCAGGTCCAAAGACTTTCCAAGAGAATCCTACAGAGGCTTGAGATCAAGTAACCTTAAATCTTTCCGAGCAGAGACCAGTGAGGATGTTAACTGCTCAGCAAGTGCTTATAGTGATTTATATTTGAATAGGAATTGTACATTTATTTATTTTTCCAGACACCATATTTTTAAACCACTAATATTTTATAGTAGATTTTCCTTCCCCTATTTAAAAGAACTATTTCCACAGGAAAAGAAAACAGTACATTTGTTTTTTTTTTTAATGTTGAGAACATTCTTTTTTTGGAAAAAAAAAAATCAGGTAGGAAATGCAGCAATGAGCATCTTTGGCCTTAACCCTTTCCTTCGTAGAGTGTAGCCATAATTGTTAGACCAAAAATAATCAATAAAAAAATAAGATTTACCCAGGCATTTCCTTCCTCTCTGCCCCTCCTCCCTTCCCTGTGCTCCTCTTCTCTGCCCCAAACCAGCTTTAACATCCCACACATTGTACAAAGAGATTCCTGCTCTTACCTTTGGGCGAGAGCTTTACAAGCAGCTCAGATGTCCTTGCAAGAGACTTTTCTATTTTCAGATTCAAGAGGAAACGTGTAAATACTTTAGGAGCATTTTATCTCCCGCTCACAGTGCCGTGACCCAGCTGATGAGGTTGATACTGTGACTGCTGCCTACAGAAGACACAGAGAAGTCATAATCCATGAGGGACTGGTGAAGGAAAACCTAATTCCCCAGGTGGTTTTTACCTGTTGAACCTTGCACATATAGTAGAGCTCTTACATACTGTGTGTAGCAGCACCTCTCATGGGGACAGGAGTCTGATTTACACTGGAATTTACTGAGGAACTGGATTGTAAGAGATTATTCTTGCATTTTCCTACAAATATATTTTGAGAGCATCATGTATTTCTGTCAATAAACATTCTTATGTAAAAGATTCGTGTCTCTGGATGAGTGAGGAGGGGTGGCCAGGTCAGAGGACAAGTTCCAGGGCCACAGCTTCCTGCTCTGGAGAGGCTCCATGGGAAAACACTGGAACAGCTGGAACAAAACCAAGCCAGACCTTCAAGGTAGCCAGCCATGGAAAAGCCTGTATTTTTCCTGTGCAGAAGGAAGTATTACAGTGGTGGAAAACCTATTAAATGTAAAAATCAGAGGATTCAGAGGGGTGGGAAGCTGGGGTGATGGTGAGGGCATCCCCACCACAGCCTGAGCACTTGTTTGAGCTCTTGGTGCCTTCAGGCTGTCAGAGGGAAAGGCAACTCACCCTTATTTCTGCATTTCACCCCTATTTCTCCATTTCAGCCTTTTTTATTTCTGCATTTCAGCCTTATTTACTCCTGCATTTCATCCAAACTCGCTCTGGTGTGCAGCCCCTCCTCAGGTCAGGCTGTGGAGGAGGGAATCAAACCTCACACATAAAGCAGGAGAGGCATCACCCAAGGGCAGCAGAGGGGCAGCAGCAGCGTGGGCAGTTCAGCAACTCCATTGGCCTTCAAGCACCCAAAATAAAACATTTTGCTCCAGGTTAAGTTTCTGCTTATGTAAAGGGAAAAAAAAAGCAATTTGTTGCAGTCAGATAATAAAAATCAGTGGTTTGCTGCAGCCTATGTTCTAATTCTGTGCTTCCCCCCAGAAAAAGTTCCTGTGAATGTGTGGAACATGCTGGATTTATGGGATACTGGCTGAGCTCATCAGTGAGGTCAGACAACAGGGCCAGATGTAATGTGCCACTAGTTTCACAATTTCTCTACCACTAAAAGACCTTCACAGGCATTTTTCCACTCTCTGAAGCAATGTGAGAACAAAGAGATCTTAAATCAACACCCTTGCTAGCATATACATTTTTATTAAGAAAAAAATGAACAAAATACATTCTCTCCTTATGTACATTACATACAACATAACTACATTTGTAAATATTCCTCGTGTCACTCATTCATTTATGTGCAGCATGGGGCTCACACACCAACCCAGAAATCATCAAAGATGATTTATGCCAAGGAAGAAAATTAACACTCCAGGCAGAACAAAGATCATCCATAAAGAAAAGGGTGGGAAGGGGAATCACCAGAGTCCAGGGAAGGTGCCTGTACCCACCATGGGCTCAGCACAGGAGCAGTCAATATTTGCCCTGCCTATTAAAACACATGAGCAGTTCACAGCTTTCACCACCCCATGGATGCTTCTTTCCAGCCCAGGGCTGTCCACACCTCTCAGCTCAGCTCTCCTGTGCTCAGGTGTCCCGGACAACAACGGCAGGACAGACACCAAAGGGAATCCAGACGGACACCAGAGCCTGCAGGATTGCTGGGGAGGTGCAAACGCTCCAAGCTGGGCGCCACAACAGAACAGAGAGGCCGAATTGTGCACAGGGGGTGGACACTCACACTTCCAGCACTAGAGAACCAGCTTCTGGGGACCACAGTGGGGTGCAAAGGACAAGATAATGAACACTGAAGGTCCAGACACACAAACCATCACACACTACAGTGATACCATCAGAGTAGAGGCAACAGCCCAACAAACAGCTCAAAACCCCACCCCAATCAGGTGTCTGAGCCCAAGCTACCCAGGTCCTGTCCATGCCACCAGCTCCAACTGCAGCAATTTCAAAGGGCAAACATTTAACAAGGCTCAACACTCCCAAAACGAGACACGCTGCATCTCAGCATCTGAATGCACAACATGCACAACACCACCAGCCCACAAGGATGGGAATGTCACCTCCAATTAACTGGGAATGAGCCCACAGACTTTCAATTCCTGTCCCTCAGCAAAGTGGTCTGCGTGGTTCGGGGCCTCCAACTCGCAAGACTCCCAGGAACACGTTTGTTTGTATAATTAAGCTCTTTTCTCTGGCTTATGGTCTCCCCAGCACCCCCTCATTTCCTGCTGTGGAGGAGGGAGTGCTGGAAGGCAGCAGAAAATACAGCTTTAGCAAATGGCAACAGCTACTAATAACGAGGGGTTTGTTTTCCTTTCCACTAGCCTGCACAGCAGCTTCTGAAGTGAAGAGTGTTTTGCACATCAAAACATCAACGGGAGGGACAGGAATGAGGAGGGAGAGATGAAGGCAATATTCACCCTGCACTGCTAGTTTGCATTCCCGATGACCACAGCTGACAGGAGGGGAAAACAAGTCAGCAGCACAGTGGTTCTCCTCCATTTTCCCCTTTTAAGAGCTGAGTTTTTGTCAAAACCTCAAAAAAAAAAAATCACTTTTCAGCCTCAAAGTGTTTTTTTTAATGAACAGACCCTGTTCACACACAGCAGCACTTCTATACTTAGTGAAACACTGAGTAATTGATTGAATCCCTTGGTTACTAAGTCAGGATATTTAAAGTATATTTTCCTATCATTGGGGAATAAAACCTATCCACTGCTATTTGGGATGTGGAGATGACTGCAACCACCAGAGCCACTGTTATGGTCTAGCCTCCCCACCATCATATTAATTAAAAAGCACTTAATTTCCTTTAATCGAACTGGCAGATTTCATCAGAAAGCTCAAAACATTTTTAGGTTTTAACAATCCCTTAGGGAAGCCAGACCTGATCCAAAAGCCAATGGGGCTGCACCAGCTCAGGTCTGTTTGAGCAGGGTTAAGCCCAACTGGCTTCCTCACAACTCCTGTGGAGAGAACAAAATTTGTATTATTCTCTCTGGTGTCTGGGGTGGAAAGGGGCTGAAGCTTGAGGTGAAGCTCCAGGACTTGAAGATCCTGATATTGCATCACCTCTCTCTGAAAAACAGCCAGACAATCCAGCTCTCATTGTAAAATCAGCTCTAAATAGCAAAGCTACTGCTAGGAGAGTCCTTCAAAGACAGAGCACACCTTACACACCTACTCACTTCAGCACCCCTGTATTAACCCCAAGATTATTTCTCTTCTCATTCCTTCTACCCTGCAGAAATAAACCAAACACCCCAACATCCATGAAAGTTTTGGGATGATTAGAGCAGGTGCAGGAACCTAGGACAACTTCAGGGTTGGTATCATCACCTTTTTCTTCTTCACAAAATAAACCCTGAGATGGGAGGGAAGGAGCATCACAGCACTGAATGTGAGGCCATGGAAGGGCACAAGTAAATAAGTGTGTGCTGCAGTGGGAAATCATCTCCCAGGCTTCTCTGTCCTTACCCAGGGTGAGAAACAGCCCTGGAAAGAACAATGTAAATCACAAGGATCCTTCCTGACTGTTTCAGAGGCAGCAGGAGGAATTTTGCAAAGGAAACGAACGAGTATGATGTGGAGACACTGATGCCTCAATACCCACTATGCAGCTCTAACCTTTAATTCCTCCATAGGTACCCATTAACTCAGGGAAGTCTGAAGCATTTTAATAGGAGTGAACAGCCACACAGAGAAAGAAAATTCAGAATAAATGGGGGAATAACCAAGGGGTCATGCTTTAACCATCACACCTGCCAATGATAAGACTTTCCTTTCAAAATGAGTAGCAAACCCAAACATCTAACCTGACAGAGCCAGTTTTGAGCTGCTCACTCATATCCCTATTTCCAGGAATGAACTGCAATTCCATGCTGGAGCTGAACAGTTGAGTGAGTTCTGACAACACTCACACTCTCCAGGTCATCAGTAAAAGCTGTGCTGACTTACAGCAAACAGCTGGAAGCCAAGGCAACATGGAGCTGTGTCTGCACCAAGTATAAATTGAGATTTCAGGGTACCAAGGTGAAGCACCGATAGCAGCTCAATTGGAAACACAGCACTGAATTTGGGTCACAGCAATACCTGGAGTTCACCCCTATCAAACCAAGCCCATGAAAGCAAAGCAGACAGCAGCAATGTGTTATCCTCAGGATCTGTGCTTGGGGAAGGCGCTGCCCTGCAGAGCTCCACACCTCAGCTCTGCAGCTGGAATTGCACACAACCCACGCAGCTGGAATTGCACACAACCCACGCAGCCACTGCCCCCTCCTCGGAGGTTTAGGACACAACCAAAGCACACATGGATAATCCCAAATCCAGGCAGCTCTGTGACTCTGCCCTGGCATCCCCATGGGGCTCCCCTGTAGGACTCTCCAGCAGCAATAAGCAAGTCATTAACTGGCTTCCACTCCAAAACCACGTTTGGAGCCATTGACTATGGACAAAAGCATCTGGAGTCAATTTATCCAAGCACTGAGCCATGGACTCTTATCCTGGTTCCAGTACATTTAACCTACTTTCTCCACTCCAACTTTTCATTATACTAGAAGCTTTCAGTAAAAGAGGGATTTTGCCTATAAGCCATTACCACAACTGGAATAATCTCCAAAATAACCTTTTCCATGACAGGATATGATTGGGTCTCCCATTCCCACAGGCATTTAGATACACCAACAAGCTTCTGACAGCACATTTACATTTCAACAGTATTTACAGCTTATATACTACTAGCAATCTATAGCAAGAACAAGTCATATAGCTGTTCTCAAACTCTCCTCTCACAAAATAAGACCCATCTCCAAATTAACTCATGTACTTATTAAAATAGGCCAAGCTCAGAGTTTCTATAATCTTTCCCCTAAATTAAAACACCAGTAATTTTAATTTTTCAACTGGGTCCACCTCTGTTTCTGTAGTAAGTACAGCTATAAAACAACACAAGCACTTCCAGAGACATACATAAACTGCTTTTACTGTCAGGACTTCACTTGACAATAGCCAAACATTCCTTAACTCTGAGCCAACTAATAAGCTAAAATTCAAAGCATACACAGGGACTTCAAAGTTTCACAAGACATTTTTCCACTTTTAAAAACAAAGGGACCGAATGGAAACATATCTGCTAATTTTTGCCATTTTCCCCAGAAGTGGCACAGCATTACATCAGCAGAATTACTGCCTGTACAGAGATGGAGGTTGTACACAAGTTATTAAAATTTACAGTTCATTCAGTAAGCTCTACAAAAGTATTTATTTCTCGATTCTGAAATGCAGGAGGCAGCAAGAGAGCTGATGGTATGTGTGTTACAGGTACCCACCACCCTCCTGCATGACACAAGCAGCATTAATGCTCATCCTCCTCACAGTAAGAGCAGCAAACAAGTTTGCAGCATTCCTCAGGACTCTGCCCTGAACCCATCACTCACCAGGGCAGGTTGGCACAGCACAGCCAGGTCAGCACAGAACTCTGGGACAGAGAAAACTCCCTTCAAAAAATCTGCACACATCAGGAAAATGCTTCAGCCAACAGCTGTTCCACAAAGCCCCATGGAAAACCCTCTTCCAGAGTCATTACTCGGCTTTGGAAGGAGCTTCTTCTGGAAGAAGGAACAGCTCATGGAGCCCTGGACACTTGTGGCTGCCAATTAAAGAAACACACTTTTGAGCTGTGGCAATCCCTGCCCACCAGCCCCACATCTCTGCCACCCTCCTGCAAACAGGTGGGTCCAGTTAATTTGCTTACTGCCTCCTCAATCTTTAAACTGTAATCATGAATCATTCAATTTTCAGGCTGGGTAATTATTATCAATGACCAAAAGCTTTCAGCAATTTAATTTAACTTTGCTACTCCAAAAAGGGACGGTTTTCTATGCTCTTTAGGAAAATCTCTGATTTCACTTCAGTTGCAGTGCCTTAGAAAAGCTTTTCCAACTGGGTGTTCCCAGACTGGTTTTCCACAATAAGACTTTGCTAACTGAAGTTCTGGTAGGAAGCTCCAGCATGATCCCTGAGCCAGCATGTACACCCAGAGCCAGGTGCCCAGGCAAACAAAAACCAAATTCCAGAGGTTTATTTACACAACTGGGTACAACTACCTTAACTACCCATGCAAGATGCCACCCAGGGAAAGGGCAAACTGAACTTACCCAAGACAAAGTTCTCCTTCCTCATTATGCTCAGGAAAAGGAAGAGATTATAAGAATAAACATATCACAAATATAAAGAGTCAGAAGATAACAACTACAATTAATTTAAATGAATGTTTTGCATCACCCTTCAGGCCTTCCCAGGACCAATACTAACTAATGGGATCCTCAAAAGAGGCAAAAAGGTGGCTAAAATGGTTATAATCTCATTTAACAACATGTAACAAAGTCCTTCTGCCACATGACAACATTTTGGATCACACTGCAAGAGCAGAACATGCTTGGAGAAGTAATTTTGGGAGAACTCTTAACAAGTTCCACTTCATGCCTACTATGAGGGGTTGTGTAAGAGGAACATTAACAAACTCACTTAATTCTACCTAATCCAAGTGACCAAAAAATTAATTCTGAAGGGTTCTATTTCTCTAAGAAAATGCATCACTTGATAGGAAAAACATAAAGAATAATTTCTTGTTTTCCAAGGAGATGATTCACTCAAGGTTATTCTAAGGGTCAGAGTCAGTGAAGAACCAAACATAGGGATTTCACAGGATATTTTTAAAAAGCTAAATCAAGAGTGAAGTCTGGATGTCTGTACCCCACCCTGACTTCCTCTAGGTTTAAAAGACATACCAGAACCTTGTAACTTTGGCTTTAAAGACCCAAAACATGAAGAATGAGTCCCTCTCTGACAAGGAACGACATTTTCCTTCGCAATACCTTATTTACAAGTTAACACAGAATTTACAGATAGAACTACTCACTGTAGTGCAAAGATTATGTGGTGTCAAGTTCATACACAAAGTCACCTTATAATCTAAAGTAAAGGCAAATAGAGTATGTTTGTCTTGTCTAAGCTAAGGAGCAGCCTCAGACACAGCCTGCAAGCAATGATGGTGAGGTTCAAAGACTTCTCACGCACAGCTCGGGTATTTATAACCTCGCATGCACTGGGCTGTGAAATGTTTTCAGGTGGCTGTTTCCTGATCCAGTGGGTTTCTTTACTGTTTGTATTTTGGGCTTTCTGTAATGAGCACATCAGATGCTTTCCTGGAATATCATCAGTGTCTTTAAAGATCAGCATGCAATGAAATTCAGACTGCTTGTGTCACTGCCTGACAACAAGTGGCTGATTTTAAAAGGAAATTTATACTTCACTGCTCAGAATTTTTGGTTAGAATTTAAAGCAGGTAACATAGCATACATCAATGCAAAGAGATCATTTGACTCCTGGCTTTAAGGACAAAAAGAAGGGAAGATCCTTGGCAAAACCACAAGAAGCCTTCCCTTTGGATTAACCTCTCTGGCCACACGGTGCCTCTGCTGCTCAACAAATACTGCGGAGCTGAGCGAGGTTTCTGCTGGTTAATCAGCAGCTGCAATCCATGAACTGCGCCGGTGCGAGCGGCATCGATCTGCTCGGGACAAAGGCAGGTCAATATTTGATCATCCTGAAGTGCTCTCGTTAGCTGGGACTGTCAGTCCTGCAGAAGCCACGTTCCCCTGGCTCAAACAAATCATTGATTTGCACCGTGCTACAGAACACGGAGCCGAGGCTGCCGGGCTCCGCGCGCACCCCGGCGCAGAGGACAATGAGTTTGGATCGAATTCCTGTCACACAAATCCGACCTGACACGATGCACTGCTCACCAGCAATGCCATTCACAGCTCTCTGGCTGCTCCTGAACTTCCCCTGCCTGTTCACCAGGGCTTCTCAAGGTGTATCTTTTGGGTTCTTTCAGCCATCCAAGGTGGACACACAACAGTTTATGAAGAGCTTGGTTAATTAGAGAACTGTCACAAAGAGTATTTAATCATCTGACTGAGGCTGAGCATACACAAGCAATGAGATCAAGTGGTAAAGGAGCACAGCAGCAGTAAATTTAAGTACTAAAAGGTTGCAGAATTTTGGCTGGTTGCAGTAAAAGTGCTCATTTTGACCTCAATGGAAGCAACAGCTCAGCTGGATCATTCCCCCAGTATCTACATTTGTACTGTATAAACTCTGCATTACTTAACAAAGCCTCAGCACAGGTAGCACACCACAAAGCCCAGCAGTGATGTAAAACTTTCTGTGTCAATAGGAAAAAAACCTGCCATGTTCCAAAGAAACAATTTCATCAGATTTCATTCCCCACACAGAGTGAATTCTTCTGCAGACATCTGATTTGCCATCCACTGAAGTGCACAGTGTCTGAACAGTCTCAAGTGACAGGTTAAAAACACTTCATTTGTACAGTCCTCCCTGAAGACAAGCCTGGCCTCTGACATACTGTTCCTTTCTAAGTGATTAAACACTAGTATGAGGTTTTGAAATTTATTTCTAATGCACCAGGACTACAAAAGTTACACAAAGAACATGATAAAGAGGCAATACAATCAAAGCAAGCAGACACTCGAGCTCTGAAAAAGACACTTGACTAACTCTTTATTTCAAGAGTCCAAATCATCTTTGCACACACAGGACTTCCACCAAGTTCAACAGGAGCCACAGCGGGTGCAGCAACGATACCTGACTGGCATGAACACTGCTGGACAGAAAGTTTTGCAGTTTCATATAAATATTTACATCTGCCAGTGTGTACTGAATGCTCACAGACACTGAATGCAGAGTTTCTAACGCTGGGTATGCATGTCCTTCATTCAACCTCACAGTGCAGCACCAAGCCCTTACAGTGTTTATAAAGAAGGCTTTCAGCAAAAGGAAGAATACATTTTCTATACATATGCATCAGCTCATTTTCAGAGATTTATGCTAAGAAGGCCTCCCTCACATTCAGATCTAGGTCTAAAATGCTTTGACAAGGGAGTTGCACTTACATGGGAAGGAGACAAGCTGTTGGGAGCAACGCCCTGTACACGTACACACGGACAAACGCACACAGAAACGCTTCACGTGGAAATGAAGACAATCTGCTTCAGAAATCCTACACCCAACCTGGGGGCAGGTTTGCAGAGGTTGGGGATGTGTGTGATGGAAGACCCAGTTCTGCCAGGCTCGCTGAGGACCCACAGGGTTTCTCAGTGGATGAGCACAGCAGCAAAGAGATCAATCCCTGAAAAGGGGCCCATGTGGGCAGTGACCGCACTCCTGTTTTCCAGCTGTATCTCAGGTTCCCTCTTGCCTGCCAGGCTTAAGTGGAAGGCCCCAGAGAACAGGAGACAGGGATGTGGGTTGTCAGTTTAGGTGGAGTCTCAGAAGCAATTAGACATGACTGTCACACAGCTCTGGAAGGGGAGACAGACGGTTCGGAACACACGCTCGCCTTCCCGCAACACACCGTGAGTGCAAGACTCAGGACATAAATTACATCCTCTCAACACCTGCCAGTGTCCTGCCACCAGGTTATTCAGCTGCTGAGGATGGAGTTGTGGGATAAAGCAACACATCATGACTAGTTACAAATGAGGAAAGAAAAACCTCTTCCCCCTCTTCCTCAGGAAACACAAAATAAAACCCATCATCTTTAATCCCAGACAACTCACATATCTCAAATTTTCCCCCATAGGCAAAAAGATCACTGCATGACTGGGTTTTATTTCTTTTTCTTTTTTCCCCCCACCTTTTCATCTTACATTTGCTAACTCAAAATCCAAAGTCAGAAAAAATATATATATTTAGTCAGAAGTACGTCAGTTACATTTTATTAACCTACTCCAAGGGAAAAGCTCCAGGGATTCACCATACAAGTATAAAACCCCTTTCAAACACCTAGGGGTTACTATATTAACTTCATCCCAGCAGTCAATCAATGCAGTAAAAAAATTAAAATACTGAAAATGGATGCTTTTCCCCTCTTCCATGTGTCCAGTGATTGCTCCGTTACAGCGTGATGAGGTCCACCAGGTTGCCTTTAGGAGGGGTCATGTTGTCTGGGAAGAAGTTGACTAACGTGTCAAACAGCTGAGTTCTCTGGGCATACGTGTGGTCAACGTCTGAAAATCCTGGGGGAGGAAGGAAAGGGGAAAGTAAGTCACTCCTCCCAATCCCAAACACTCCATTCAGCTGTGGAATTGTCCATTTGGGATAAATGTTAACGGCGCCCTCTGCCTCCACTAATAAGGCTGCCAGCTCTCTGTCCCACTACTGTGAGCACATATAGAGAGATTACGTCACCCCAAGCCAGCACTGCCATCAAGATGCCATAAAAAATAATAAACAAATGTCTGTCAAGCTCACTGACAGCCCTGAAGAAACGGGGGAAGCAGGAGTTCTCAGGGGACTGCTCTGATGTCCCAGAAAACAAAATCCATGCAGCTATTTTTATTTGGGGCCTCATTTCTTCTGTCCTCGGGCTTTCTTCATTATCTTCACTGCCATAACCAGAACTGCTCCTTGGATTGCTTGGAGTTTTCCTTGAGAAAAGCTGTGCTGACAGCAGGAGTCCCAACTCAGAGTTGGTATTTACTCCCTGGACTTGCACCTGGCTGCATCTTGTCACACAGGAGCTTTGCAAACTGGTTTCTGGAGTGCTGCCTCCCAACACAGCAGGGTTTGGTTTGCATTGTTTATCCAAATCCTACACTAAAACCATCAGCAAGAACAACAGGGCAGGCACACAATGATCTCTCCACTTTGGATTACTTCCATTGCCGCTATCTCAAAGGAATGCTTTTTAATTCAGTGAACTCACTCTTCACTTAATCAAAGTCAACCAAGTTAATCAAATCAAGGAGGGCTGGGGTTTTTATTTTCAAAGCACCTCTTGATGTACATATCCTCCTATCTGTAAATCCAAAATCTGGATAAACTATTGTACTGAGTCAAGAACTAATTCATCTTTTAAAATGCTTAAAACTAGGGAAAAGGTTTGAGGGTGGTGAAGCACTGGCACAGGTTGCCCAGGGAGGATGTGGATGTCCCATACCTGAAGTATTCAAAGCCAGGTTGGATGGGGCTCAGAGCAACCTGGGATAGTGGAAGGCATCCCTGCCCACGGCAGAGGGGGTTGGAATGAGATGATTTTTGAAGGTCCCTTCCAGCCCAAACCATTCCATGAGTCTATGAAAAATCCTCTTTTTTGAAATTTGGGTTTTCTTTCTTTAAAAGAAGTTGATCCTATCAGTCAACTTGATATCTTCCAAACCACAGGAACACAGCAGAGCTTCCTCATCCAGCAGGGCAGAACTGCAGTGGGTTTTAACCTTCCCTCAGTTTCTCAGATTGGGAATTATACCTCCATCAAAAAATGAAGTCATTCATTCTCTTAGCAAGAGTTCAGTGACTTGAGGACACCCCAGCAGTACAAGGATATCATTTCTGCCTGTGCCTTTCCTACAGCTTGCCCAGGATGTGTCTCTGAGATCTCTCAAAGAGTTAACTGGACAGAGCAGTGAAACAAATCATGGCTTTGGCTCAGCCCTCCTGTTTCCAGCCCTTCACGCCACTGTTTTCTCCCCTCTTGACACCCTGCCCAAAGAACTCATTCTGCAGAGAACAGAGCGAACCAAACTACTCCAGGAATTGCAGTTATCACAGCAAACAGAGCTGTAGCCATGCTGTGAGATTCCAAAGTGACATGACAGGAGGTGCTTTATTCTGACCAAAGCTTCTGTTTACTTGGGTAACAGCGAAGGATCAGATGTAATAAGAGACACAAAATGATCCCGGGAGGCATTGGTTTAAAACCACTGATGTTGACAGATGTTTTAAATGTGGGCTTGACGTATTGGACACTGGTCATTATAAATAACCTCTCAAAAGTCTGAGTAGTGGCACTTTGCATATTGAAAAGAGCCTGCAATGTTCATAGGAACTATAGCATTTGATATAAAAACCAGTAGAAACTAAGAGTAATTATCAAAGAGAACATCGTGTAATTCCTCTGACACACAATACTCACCGAGAGTCGTGAAATCCGAGCCAGACTTAAATAATGCTGAGGCAAGAAGCTGAAACTGCAGAAGAAGAGGTAAAGGGACAAAGAAAGAAAAAAGTGTTATTAACCACAAAGGCAAAAACCCCAAGGGATTCACAGAAGTACAAGTAGCTTTAGAGTTGCTGTGTTTTCTCCACACAATGCTCCCAACTCCTGTGCCATACACATGAATAACAGCAGCAGGCACTTTCACATGAGCACCACAATTTGTCACCTTGGCACAAGTTAGATGCTTTTTCCTAGAATTAGAGCAGAGTTGATGCAATGAAATGCATTTGTCTGAGAGCCCTAAAAATCTCATTTTTTTACACATAATTTTTTGCCTCTTTGCCAGAAGGTAGAGTCCCTTCCACACACTAACATTCCCAGGGATTAACATGGTACAGGCTCAGCAGCCAGGGATTAGATGCCACAAAAACAGGGTAACTGCTGGAGTGAGCATGAACTTCTTGAACACAGAGAAAGTTCTACCCCCACAGAGAGAAGCTGTGGATGCCCCAACCCTGGCAGTGTTCAAGGCCACATGGGACTGAGCAATCTGATCTAATGGGTGCCATTCCCTGCCCATGGCAGGGAGTTTGGAACTCAATGATCCTTAACATCCCATCCAACCCAAACCATTCTAAGATTCTAATAACAACCCTTCTGAACTGCCAGAGATCTCACATCACAAATTTAAGGCAATATCTTCTTAACTAAAAATAAAAATTCTTTGTTTGGGAACATCAAGACCATGAATAAAAACATTTTACTTAACACATTCATGGTTTTATTCTCCCTTCATGTCTCACTGATAGATGGTGACCACAGAGTCTTCCTCTGCCCCTGACTGCTGTTTCCAGGAACCCAAGGAACAGCAAAGCTTAGTGCTTTGTCATGCTCCTGCAAGGAAAGAGTTGATTCCTTAAAGCCTTGGAATCTTGTGTCTCCTGCCTGTGTGTCTTTTCAGCGCACAGCCTGAAGGAAAAGAGGGGAGGAAAAAAACCAAAAGAGAAGCAAATATGTTCAGGGAAGGAGTGGAAAGAATAGCCAGGCATTACATATCCATCAGTTTAATTTCAATTTCAATAAAAAATGGGAACACAGACAGTTTGTAGGCATGTAGGAGTGGAGAAGGTGATGAGTAGCAGCCAATGTGAATTTGGCAACAACAAGTTGAAGCCCATCAATCTGATTTCTCCTATGAGGCAGAAGGCCCTAGGGATGGAACTTGGCAATAGACCTTGTCCATTCTGACTTTCATAGGAATTCTAACACTTTTATATGGTATTTAAGGCACATTGTCAAGGCATTACTTAGATTAAGCCAACAGGGAAAGGCAAACAGGTCAAATACCTTTTCTGTGGGTGGCCATCAATGGTTTGACATCAAAATGGAGCCTTGAATCAGGAGTGATTCATCTGTGCCCCAGGGTCAGCATCACCCTGGTTTTCAGTGATAACCTGCTTGCCAGAACAGGGCAGGATCACCAGACCTTACACCACACTCAGACTGACTGCCAGCATGGAACAGCCTTCCAACTGTTTTTCCACTTAATGCAAATTATAATGATGGATTGAGGTGCATTTCACCAGGGCCAAGTGCAAATCAACATAAACAAGAAAAATCAGCAATACAGAACAGGTGCAGAGGCTCTGTGAAAATTCACTTAGGCACTACAACAGATCAGTATCACTTTATTATAATAAAAACTGACAAATGCATGAAAAGGAGCAGAATCTTTAAATAAAAAACTCTTGCTGTTATCAAGGTTTTAAAGTCTCCTCTACAATAAGGAGCCCATTTTGGGATGCCCTGTATCAGCTAGCAACATATGAGGAAAGCACTAGAAAAAAAAATTAAGCGTTCTGAAAAGCAAGTTCTACAAAGAAAGCTCAAAGGAGTGAGGGCTGCAGAGAACAATGGCCAAACACAAAACTGCCAGAAATCACAGAAGCAAAAAGTAGAAAAAAATAGGAAAAGAAGTAAAAAAAGGTGCTACAGAAAGTAGATCTACAACCAAGTGCAAGAAGCTACAAAAACACTACAGTAAGATCAGTTTCAATGTGACATCAAGGGGAAAATCAGGCTAAAATAAGGACTGGGGTAAGTCTGCATCCTGTGGGGAGGGTATGGTGAGACAGACACAGGATTGACAAACTGGAGATGAGGGGGAAGGGGCTGCCAAGTGCCCTCCTGAGGGCAAGGCTGCTCACACTAAATCACTGCAACGCCCCACGTGGGTTCCACTGAGAGCCTCATTTGTGAGAGCAGCTTGGCTTCCCAGCAGCACCGAACTCAAACAGCTGCCCAGTAGAAATAGCTCCAGAAGTTCCAATAAACCCGTGGCTAAATCACTGCAGCTTCTGAGAGCAAATGCCAGGCTCTGGCCATCCCTGCCTCCCACAGGATGGCTCAGGGCCCGCTGCCAGCTGCCTGGTGGCACACCAAGCTGGGATAAAGCGGGTGCCACGCGCTCCCAGGGGTGCCCACGCTCCTGCAGCAACGCCCTGCTGGGAGCACAAAGCCACACTGGGGCTCAGGTGCCCGACCAAGAGGCCACATGAGCAGGGTTCAGCCAAGAACTCGCTGAGCTGAGACCAAAACCCCGCTGAAAATGGCCTGTGCCAAGTTTCCAGCCTCATCTGCAGCAGGCATGATGGATTTTCATGGCTATGAGTTTCTTTACAGCTTTGTGGGGAAGGAGAATCTTGTTCCCTTCTCCACTGATGGTGCCACACTTGAGTTAACCTTGAGGGCTGTTGTTTGTTTGGTTTGAAATTTAATTTGTGTATCAGCTCACACTTGAAAAGCACTTTCTGATAGAAAAGTCAAGCGTGTGAGTTAAGAACATCAGTTAAGGACAGTGCTGAACCCAAGCTGGTTCACTCTGCATTTGTATTACAATCCCAACCCTACAATGTTCTCTCCCATAGGATCCCTGTGTTTTTCCCAAAGTGCAGGACAGTTACTGCTCACTCCATACCAGGTCTCCTACACACCATCCCCAGCAGATATCCAATGTACTGTTTTCTTCACAAAGTACAAGCTCTGCTCTAAAGAAGGAATTAATTTCTTCATTGACTTTCTTATCATATTAATTGTTATTCTAACAGATGGCACTTCAAACTCTGATTAATTTTGGGTCTATTTGAAACTAACAGTATCTGATTTTTCAAAATATGTAGTGTTATGCAACAGCTTCTGAATTCGCAGAAAAGCATGGCCCTCAAGCAAATCACACCTCACATCTCTCCCATCAGGCACCAGAATGAAACATCCAATTAATGACCATCTAGGAAAAACAATTTGCTTAATATCACACAGCAACTCTGTTATGGAGACAAGAGCAGAATTCAATTATCCAGCAGAAGCATCCAACTGCTTTAATCACACCACCACCCATTTTCTTCTGACAATCCCTCTGGCTCACTGGCTTCATCCATTCCAAATTAAGCCTCCACTCCAAAGACAGCATTTCCTTTTGTTACACAATTAACTTCTCTCTCTCTTGGAGATCCAACCAACCTCCTGAGCAGAGGCAGGGGTTCCTTGGAGATAAACAGATCTGGTTAACTAACAGAAGAACATATACTATGTCTATTTTTATATATTTGCTGCACACCTCTGCCTTTGCACAAACAAAATGATTAAGGGGGAATGAGTAACTCTCGTTTGGGATACCTGGCCAGTTGTGTGAATCAGACACAATTCCTCCTCCTCCTCTGTAATGCCTGTGTGAGAGTGCTCAGATCACAGCATAAACCAGTTCCTCAGCTTTGACCAGTTCTCAGGGGCTGGTGAGACCCAGCACAGGCTCAAAGAGGCAAAGGGAAGCTCAGACCCTTTGAGGATGGAGCTGTTGCTGAAATTGGGAAGGCTGAACGCTGTTTTTGTAAAGGCTCCTTGGCTCCAAAGCCCCTGCTCCTGCAGCACTCAGGCTCTGAGGCTTTACAAAGAATCACAGCAGGACACAGAGAGGAGAAACAGGCTTTTCTTAGCTCCTTCCTAGAACTATTTTTCCCATTTGGGCTTCAGTTTTCCCAGAAATACCAGTCTAATGCAGATTCAAACAATACTTTTGGGCCCTGCTGGCTTTATCTGTCAAATTTATTAAAGACAAGGTCTTAAGAATGGAAAGTATGAAGCAGCCTTGAACAGGGGCCTCCAGCCTCAGTCTACAAGCAAGTCAGGCCTCACATTGGCCTCCAGGTCCTTGCTCTTTCTCCTGTCATGCTCCAAGAAAAACATACTGTGAGTTTTCCTTGTGCTTTGTATCTGTTTTACAACAATCATGGGATTGAGCTTCATCAGTTGTTGAATCTCCATGTACAAAATCATGCTGCTCTCTCATACTTGGAAAGCACTGGACATTTTTTGTGTCATCTTGATTTCTACTGCAGCCCATTTAACAGCAGCAAAGTTCTGGGTATGATTACTGCAGTGTTCAAGGAGCATCTTTAGCTTTTATACATGAACTACTGATGTTTCTGTGATTTAACAGCACCTGTTTTTCTCTAAACACAAAATTTGGAATTCAATTTGATATTTATTTTGACCATCCTCTTATCTTTAAAAGCCTGCTGTTGTAATCTTCCACCAAATTCACATCTGTGTGTGACAGAGAGGAACAGCCATGCCAGCAGAAAATTTTACACCAGCAAATGACCCATTTATACAACTTTTAATCTGTTAAATCAAAGGCAAAATTCCCCCTTTTCTAGAAATTTACCCTCCTTTTCCTATAGTGTCAGGGCTATTGACCCACAGCCACTAAAAAGATCCACTGATTTGGGAACCCTGAACTGACTGAGGAGGTTTAAGTGATGCCAAGCAGAATCACAGTTGAAGACTGGATCTGCATTTGTGGGCAGAGAAGTTGCTAGCACACAGCCTGTGGATACTAAACCAAGCACCCATGCAATACCTGTTACTTGCAGGCATCTACTTCATTTCAGAGTAATAAAAAAGGGGGAAAAAATAGTCCCTAAAATTCACAGCAACAGAATGCAAATCTTGGGGTATGTTCCTACTATCAATCATTCATGCTACTTTAAACAAAATCGGTTACTAAGGCCAAAGTAAGTTTCAAGAACAGTCTGTTTGTTTTCCTTGGCATGCAACTGCAAACAGCTGAACAGACTTGCCTAACTAAGTCAGAAGGAATTACTTCTATTACAAAGCAAGCAAGCCTCACCACAAGGGGAAATTCTGCTTGTAATGGTATATAACACCACCCAGATCTCCATCCATAAAACATGAAGCCATACAGGCCACTCTCCAGAATTACTGCATGAAGCTGGGGATGAAACTACTCAGCCTGGTCCTTCCCAAATTTAACAGCTGCCCTGGAAAGAGGGAAAACAGGCAGGAATTGATTCCCTGAAGTTCTAAGATGCCTTACAGCATTCAATGGCTGCAGCCAATCACATCTATCACCTTTGCTATTAATCGAGATACAAATCAAATAAAGGCAGGGTATGGAGGTGTCTGGGCTGAGAGACACAATCAAACTGGTGCTTGAAATTCGATATGGAATCCAAAATGCCTGCGTCAGTCAGTCCTTTGGAAAGCACAGGAGCTATTTGAAGACGCAATGCCAGAGCAAAAAGCCAACTCGATGTGATAACCGGAAGGTAAATTGACGTCAGCTGGAAATGCACCCAGTCAGTACCAGCCCAGCAGCTGGCTCTGTGCCACAGCCCTGGCAGATCTGTCCCAGTGGAAAAAAAAGCTCTGGATGTTAAGGCTTTATGATCAGCACAATGAGTAATAATTAAAAAAAAAAAAAAGAAAATCCAAACAAAAAACAAAATAGCAAAACCCAAACAACAAAGCGTCCCAGAAATGGTTAGATGAGTTTTGGAGATGGCTGGGATGGATGGAAGCTTTAATTCTGCTGAATGGTGAGTGCTGATCTGACAGCCCAGCACGACAGACAGAAGCTATTGGATTTTGTTTGGATCAGACATTAGGCCTGCAGAGAAAGAATCCACAATATATTCACTCAGCTGGACTGAGCTATGTAAGCTCATTCACTGGATCATTAATGTTCAGAGCACCAGTGAGCTCTCTGAAAAGGGGCAATTCTTTTTTCAAACATTTTATTCTACTTCTACGGGTATGATACAGCTTCTACATTCCCCAAAATCTCAGAGGGGCCATGCAGGCATGTAAATTCTCCATTCCTACAAGCTGGACAAGTTGAACACTGAGCTGGGAAAAGGAAAAGGAGGATATTAAAGGGTTTTCTGTGCCAGATGTGCCCAAATGCAGCTTCTGCAGCAGCTCCCTCGGTCTGTGGGCGACAGGAGGCAGCAGCAACTAGGAGAAGAGCTTGCTCATCACACCACAGATGTTTGCTGTTCAGGGAATAATAAAAAGGCCCAGCCAGCCATGAGATGCAAAATCTCCTTAGGAATAACTGGCAGAGGAGAGGCAGGCTACCAGCACACAGCTGTGACATGGAGAAAAAAGATCAGACAACACAGGACACATCTTACAGGAGTGGGAGGGAAAAAGAGAGCATCAGGATGGGAGCTTGTACTGTGTGGGTTAGTACAGGCTCGAACAGGAAGAAGAAACCTTGAATTCTGGGCTCAGTTTTGGGCCTCTCACAAGAAGAAAGTCACTGAGGGGATGGAGTTTGTCCAGGGAGGGGAATGGAGCTGGGGAAGGGTCTGAGGCACCAGGAGGGGCTGGGGGAGCTGGAAAGGGGCTCAGCCTGGAGAAAAGGAGGCTCAGGGGGGACCTTCTGGCTCTGCACAGCTCCTGACAGGAGGGGGCAGCTGGGGCAAGGGTCACTCCCAAGTAATAGAACACAGGAGAAGAGGAAATGGCCTCAAATTAAGACTGGGTATCAGGAAAAAATTCACCAGAAGGGCTGTCCAGCTCTGGCACAGGCTGCCTGGGGAAGTACAATCCCCTTCTCTGGAGGTATTTAAAAGCCATTAGATGTTACACCTGGGGATATGATTTAGTGGTGGCCTTGGCAGTGCTGAGACAATGGTTGCACTTGATGGCCTTAAAGGTCTTTTCCAACCTCAGAGATTCTGGAAGTGTTACCACACTGGGAAGATGACACATATTGAGGAAAAAAAAAATCTCCTTTCCTACTTTGAGAAATGCAGGATCATCTGCTGTCTTTCCTATGCTAGACATGACTAGAAAGGATGTGAAACTACTTGATATGGAACAATTTGAACAAGAAACCATTTACAGAGAACAGAGAGTCACAGCATTTAAATTTTTTGTTGAATCACATGTTTATAAACACTGATTAGAATTTATGACAAATGTGATCACTTCCAAGATCCTGATAAGAGTAAACTTTTTCCTAATTCTAACCCTACAGTTCCATCCTGTGCACACACAAGAATATTCTTATATTCTGCCCCAAGACCTTTCAGTGTCTGTATAATCTTTTCTTTAGCTAAAGTAGCAAGTTAAAGCCACCAGATTAGGAGATTTAATCCAGGGACTCAGCATGGAATAGAACTGCCCCTCCTCCTATCGTGATTTTATAAATGGAACTGTTGAATCCCTTCCCATGTCATTAAGGAAAGAAGACAGCAAGAACCCCAGACTCTTCCTTATCTACCCATCAGGGGCTGAGTGCTGGCACATCTCAGCTGGCTGCCCCAAACTCCATGTGGAAATTAATGCCAGAGTCAAATCAACCACCTTATCTGACACTTCTCACTATTTCTTTAATCTGTTTTGTAAAGTGACACGCACTGCAGTACTGGAATCAAAACAGGAAATGGGAACAAATTCCTGGAATAAATAAAGAACATGCCTACTGGATAATATTCAAAAGGCAAAGGACATAAGATTTTAAGGGTAGCAAGCAGTACATAGGTATAAACTACTTCAAGAATTATTGATCATCTTTGGAAAAGCTTCCCCTCCCCAGAGATGCTGAATATTGAGAAGCCTGAGCATGAGTAAGTTTCTATTCCCTTTCTACTGCACAACCAACTACAGACTGGTGACATTTCAGAGAGTTTACATTTCAATTAAAGCTCCCAAAATACACACCAGCACACTGGAATTAAAACAAGGCTTAGCCTTCACTCTTAGGAATACAAAAGCTATTTTATCTGGACCTGCAGTTGTTACGTGACTGTTTCCAAAACAGTCTGACTGAAGTGCAAAGAAATACGTGACACAGCAAAGTGTCTGGCACCTGCTGAGCTTTTACCAATTGAATAAAACCCAGGTTTAAGAAGCCCAAAACTTTCAATGAGAATGCATTCTAAATTTCTTTAGGACAAGGTTCTTTGATCCTCACCTCCTTTGTCTCCTCAGGGTCCGAGTGATCCACAGTTACATATAAATCATTCTGCAGGTACTTCAGTGCACTGAGAGGGTCAGTCTGAGCCTTCTCCTCAAACCTGCAGAGAATAAACAGAAAACTTGAGCACAGCCATATCCTTCAGGACTAAACTGGTTCAAACCCATCTAACAAACCCAGTATTTCCAAAGAAAACCACATTAGTGAGCCTCATGTTTGATGGAATCTCAAGCCAGACTGAAATATGGAAGAGGTTTTTTTGGGGTGTAAAGGAGTTAAAAGGGCAAAGTACTACATCCTTAATAAAAATATTCAAAAGCATATGCACAGAAACTTCTTAATATATAAATATAAAATCTCAAGTACAGCTTGTCTTCCACAAATGAAGTAAGATGTGAGCAGCATCTCACAGAGCAGACACAGGCAAGCCTTGAGCACTTCAGTCCCTGGGATATTAACATCCCACCTTTGGAAAGAGCACAGCTCCATAAAAATCCTGTGCACCACCACCCTTATTTCCTCATTGTCTTTTAATGAACAGGAACTGCAACTTCTGTGAATTCCCTCAAGAAGTGAACAGAGCCCTCAGGATATGATTCTGGGCTCAGCACACTCAGTGAGCAGAGCTGCTTCCCTGCAGCACTGAGCTGGTTGCATAAGCCTGGAAAGGATGAGGTTTAAAATCATCTTTTTCCTCCTCTCACCTACCCCTGAGTGCAGCATCACACTGTTTGTCATTTTATCATATTGTTATTTTTTAATTTGGGTCATCTACCTGGCTATTTATACCACAGTGGACATGTGCAGCCTGAATTTTGAAACTGCCTAAAGATGTCAGTGATTGAGCAGCACAGGGAGCACAAAGACCTGATGCATCTGACAGCTTGGTCACTACACATGGTTTCAGACACTGCCAGAGATTTTCTCAGATGACACTACCATGGCCCAGAGAGCTGAAGTGCTTTAACTGAGTGGAACCACTGCCACCTTGCTCCTTCCCAGCTGCCCAGCCTGGCTGACTGGTACTGAACAAGCTCATAGGAAAAACAGGACCCAGGCTGATGCTGTGGGATTGCTGTGGATGCAAGGCCAGCATCTGTTCTGTACCCAGAGTTTGGGGCAGTGCAGGTAAAGGGCAGGCAGTGACTCCACAGCAATTCAGCCCCAGCCAGGCATCCATCCCACCGTTCCTGGTTGCTCAGGTTTGGCTCCTTCACAGAAACCCCAAAAATGGGAGGACGGTGCATAAACCCCAAACTTCTGCCAGGTAACACACAGCAACATTTCCTTCAAGTGCAATTTAAGCAAGTAGAAACAAATAATTCAGAGCTGTCTCTGCACAGCTGCATTTCCATACCATCACATCTGGGTTTAATAAGCCTCCCAGATAACTGGGCAAGGCCTTTATTCATTCCTGTGGGTATTCACATCTACTGTGTGGCTAATCTCAGTGTCTCACCCAGCCACAGTGGCTGGGAGTTGAGTACAGCAATTTGCTTGCTGCCTCAGAAATAAAATACCATCAGGTATTTTAACCTGACCTTCTAACTCTTGGCAGAGCCTGATAACAAAGTATTCTCCCCCAGAATGCAGGGAGAGCTATTTACTGCTTTCAAATGATTTGCTGGGTCCTGAAAGGCTCTCTCACTGCTGCAATTTCTTGACTAAGGCAACACCATAAGCTTGATTTTGAAAAGCTGTTGCCCTTAATAGCAAATAAAAGGCAGCTCTGAAGCATCCAGAGTGCAAGAAGCACTGCAGTGTAGCTGAATTCTGCCTAAGTGAGCTCTTTCAGGAGTTTCTGAATGAGAAACTCTGATGACCTCACCACGGTTGAGTCTCAGATGTGCAAAGGCATCCAGCCCCCAGACTTCATTAGCATCCTTGCAGGCTGTTACTATCTCCAAGCAGTGTTTCCAAAACACACTCCATTTCCTTGGGAGGTGACAGCACCAAAACACATGTTGATGAGCAGCACAGTGAAAAGGGAATCTAAAAATTCCCCATGACTCCCCACACAATAATCAGATTTTTCTACTTTTAGAATAGCATGGGCAAAATGAATCAAGTTAATTTTGTAGTTTAGCCCTGGCCCACTGCTTTTTATTAAAATAATTTAAAAGAATAATCAAGAAATGTGCAGAAGGTTTAGAAGGGACCTTGAAGATCATCTAGTTTCATATAACCAACAAAATGATATTTCACAAAATGGTTTATGAGATATTTGAGTGTTAGCAACTTGAAAAAAAAGGAGACATCTGGAAAAGGAAATTGCAAACCACCTTTGCTTCTATACCTGTGCTTTCTGATGAGGTATTTGCAGTGTCTTAGCAGGTATTCCTTTGAAGGTCGACAGAGCTTCAGAGACCAGAAATCATCTAATCTCATCTTTGGAGAGCAGGATTTACCAGGATTCCCTCCAAATAAGTAATGAACCTAAGGAAATGAGTGGCAGATCAAAAAATTGATTGTTTGTGTAAATCTACTGAACAAAGACAATTTACTATGTCAGCAGCTTTGCAGAGCTTTATTCTGGTGGGATAAACTCTGCCTTTTAGACAAGTTGCTCCATCTTATTATCAGCCTCACTCTGTCCACTTGGAGATGAAGAAAGTTCTCCTGAACAATTTACATCTTAAGATAATAAAAGAGTTGTACTCTTACAACATCTCTTTAGCAGATACCTGTGATATTTATAAATGAACATACAAAATTCATGCAAACTCTTTCTTTAGGAAAAAGCTATAAAAATGATAAATCCTTAAGCACTGACAAAGTGAGCTGGAAGTCTTGAAGACATCCAAAGTAAAGTGAGAGCAAGCCCAGCCCAGCACAATCTAGACTCAGAGAGAGGCAAACTTCCAGAAAAGTGGAAATGTCACAAAAGAACTGTTTATTTCTTTGCTCCATTTTTCTTCCCATCGTGTGGTAATTTCAGACTCTGAACTGTTGATATTAAACATGCTACAAAGGACCTTCAAATAGTGAAGTTTAACAAGTCCAACAGCCTACCTTTCCCCATGGCTTTAAAAATAATCACTCAAAACAATGTATTCTGCATCCCACTGCTGAAGGCTCTCCTTATTTATATCAGAGGAGTTTAGAAAGGTCATTGGAACAGAGGTTTCTAAAAATAAGACTCTTCAAAACAAGCACATCAAACAGCTCCTCAGATAAAGCTGGGCAACTGGGATGATTTAGCAACCTTCAGAGTAACTCAGAAAATACTACTCTCTCTCATGGTGCCTTACACTTAGAAGTAAAAGCAGAACAGTATTTACTCATTTACTGTATCATCACAGTGAAGACAACAAGCAATGCAATTTCCCCATACAGAATCCGCACCCATTCCTCCTTAAAATCCCTCAAGTTTTGGGCTAGCTGGGTTTCCCAAATTTGATTAACACCCCACAGAATGCAAGACTAAAAGATGTTTTTCTTTAACTCAGACTGCTTCAGACTAGGGAGAATTTTTAGAAAAATCCATGAAAGGAGCAGTAAACGTGTCACAGTAATTTAAATTCATGAGTTTATGAACCTAATCTGTGGGTTTGTGCTTTACTGGTTAATATGTACAAAGCTTTAAGTTTACTGAGCTGTCCTATGCACTAAACCAAGTTTTAAGTCCATTTAAGTATGAATGTGTCCATTGGAGTCTGACAGTGTTAAGGAATGACAGCTCCTTCTGACATGCAGGGCAAAGTCAAGCACCTCTGGTTCAGAGGATTCTTAGCTGTGATTAGTTCACTCAAACACATCTTTTCCTAGAAATTTTGGTAACTATCTGTTCTCATTTATTCACCAACAGATGAGATTAAATCCCTGAGGATAATGAATGAAGCTTTGTGTGTTCTGAAGTGTGAGAACAGATCTCATGTTTACCTCATATTGACATTAAAAGGAGTTTAAAACCTTATTTCAAAATATGAGAAGTGAGAGTTATTCACCATATTAATCCAAACATTCAAAAAGGATATTTATTGTACCATCTTTAAGGAAATAGCTACATCTTCAGAACAAAAAGACTTGAAAAATTAAAAATCACTTTTTACCTTGTGCAGCTCATCATACACCAGCTGATGGGCAAACCTTGGGCAGGGCTCCTCTTCCTGAAGGCTTTTACCTGGATTCTCTTTTGCTGCTTGGTCATTCTTATAGACACAAGACCTGAAATTCAAAGCAGTAAAGAATTATTAGTTGTACCTACAGGAAGCACAAAAAGTTGCTGAAAGGCTGGAAGCTACAAATGATGTAAAACACCAAAGATTTTCTTACTTCTCTTTATGTTGTCCTCTATTATCCCATCCCATCCCATCCCATCCCATCCCATCCCATCCCATCCCATCCCTCTACAAAGAACCCAGCCAGCTATCAGAGGTCATCTTGGCTGAAAACAGTCCTCAAGCACAAGCCAAACAGGAAAAAATTCTAGAAAATTATTTGTCATAAGCTTTGGGGAGCTCTTCAGATGTTACATTATTTGCCTACAGAACTGTCAGCATTAAGTATTTTTTTATTATGTAAGAAAACATCTTGGACCCAGCAGAGCTTTAGACCACATATTATGGCAGAGGTGGTATTTCAGTCAGTGATTTCCAAACAGACTTAAGTTATAACTGAGAATTCACTTTTAAAAAACAACACTCACACCTTTGAAGTGGTTGACCCCACTTGAGAAGAGGCCTTGAACACAAAATCTCTGCCAGCTCCTCTGGAAAGGAACAGTGGCAAGGAGCTACTAAGCACAAAACCAGGAGATATTTTCTCAGAATACCCCTTTTGGCACAGAGACCTCTCCATCACCCTTCACTTGCACCAGTTTCCTCAGTTTCTAAGAACCAGAGCCATGTACATTGCTATTAACAACTTACACTGGTCTGAATTTGCTGCACTGGACCTGAATCCTGGCCTTGAACCCTTCCTGCAGGAAAAGCTTTTTTGAACTGCTCACTTCCCCTCATCCCCTCCACCTGGCTCCAATAAAGATGTTCACATGATTTCCCTCTCTCATTTGGATTATTGCCATTATTACCTCTAAAGACAATGGGAAAAAGAGGTGCCTAAAGGGAACTCAGCTGTCTTTCACAACTTTCAACAATTCCATGGTTAACAGAGGTTACAGAGCTGCCTTATAGAGACAGGATTGCTTTCTAAATAAAGTCAGTGTGGAAGTCAGAAGTCAGGACTCACCAGCTGTTCCTCACAATGTCATAAATCCAAAAGGAATTCCTCACGTTCTCTTCCCGCTTCTCCTTGTCTTTACTGAGCCCTGACAAGACGTGGATTTCATTCAGTTCAGGATCAATGGTGGCCCTTTGAGTGAAACCTGTCATTGGAACTGAGAAAAGAAAATAAAACTTACATGCTGGAAACATCACAGGATGCAGGAGGGATCCAAACATCAAGCAAATGAGTTTCCTTCCCCCTGCAATTCAGCAATCACCATGCAGAGCCCAACTTCTTCCCTGTTAAAGCCAAGTCCAATGAAAATTCTTTTCTTCTCTTCCTATCTCTGATTCTTGGAAGAAAACACAAACCATTCTGAGAGCTGCTGTTTCCTAGGAAAAGATATGGACAGAGCCATTTGGGAGATGACCAGCTCAGAAATGAGGATTGGCTGCCTAATGTAGAGCTGAATGACCAGATGACCCTTACAAACATGAATGGAGTGATTTTGTTATTATCTCATCTGTAAAAGGAAGCATTGATTCCAGAAAGCTTCATTGCAAAAGCTGGGAAACTCCAAAAAATTCAAGATGACCTCTCAATTCTATACTCATAACCCCGCAGGACAAAGATATCAAAGAAGCTTTTTGGATTTTCTGAAGAATTGTGGCGTAATTACCAAACTATTCCTCTTCTGTCCCATCTTCAGATTTGGAAATATGGTGAAATCCCACGGATTCCAATAGTTTTCACCATAATTCCCCAAAAAAAAAGGTCAGCAAATTTGTTTGGCAGTCCTTTTTGTTTGTTGTGTAATTCCCCATTTCCTGTTTCCCTAGGCAACCATCCTTCCAAAATGTATTTGTGAAGGGCACGTGATCTTTGTTTACAGATCCTGTTTGTCCCCTTTCTCTTTCTGGGTCAGTTTACAAAGGCTGGTAAAGGTTCCTGGCCTTTGGTCAAGATTTTGGCATGAAAAATTCTCAGAACTCTTGTATTTTGCAAATTCTTCCTTGCAATTAACTGAACTGCCCCCACGGTCTAGAAAAAGAGCCCTATGTTAATAAAATATTTAATACTGCTATTGGGGAATACACAAAATGGTATTTTGGAAACCCATTCTGTAACTGGTTTCATTCTCACACTTCACTCTTTTCATTTGTTAGGCCAGGAAAGCAATAAAGGAATTAAAAAATTCTGAGTAGAATTTGGTTTTCTACAATTTTAGCCCCTACTGAAGAAGTCAGCAGCACCATAAAACCTAAGCATTTCTTTAAAAAAATCTAAATGCTTAATTCCCATGTAAATTTAAATAGAAACTTGAATATATTTGGATAACTCATTCTCAAACTTCCTTTGACAAAATCCTTCCTTTTGATTTTACAGGAGGAAGAGGCTTTGGAGCCCACATCAGCATAAACCTGTCTAGTTTGGCCTCCAATTTTGCCACAACATTTTAAAGGAAAATTAATCCAGTTTAAAAGCAAAACGAGTGGTAGAAAAGAGAAAAAATAAGGAAATAACACTGACACAACAATGACTACACACCTTGTTTTATCTGCAAACCACAAAGAACTTAGTTTTTAAATAATACAAATGAGGACCGTGAATGTCATCCCATAAGGAAATTGAGAACAGAAAGATGACTATGAACTAAAAATTGCTAATTTTTGAAAAATATCCTGCAATATGTTTGCTTGCATAGCCAGGGACTAAGTTGCTGACCCAAAAGGATTAAATTCAAGGCCTGCTTGAGACATTTCTGGCAGGAGAACCATCTAAATTTGATCAGCAATGCTAATGCACATGGAAAATGTCTTTGCAACCCTATCTGCTGCTTTGAACATTTGAGACCAAGCTGGGAATATTACAAAAAAAAAAAAAAAAAAAAAAAACCTGTGCAAATCTTCAGAGCACTAATACCTCATTGAAATGAAAATTATTATAATCATGAGGAACATAGCTGCTCTCTTACCATTGATACTCAAAGCATCTGAAACTCGTCTATGGAAGTCCCATCCCTCCTCCTGAAATGTTGTTAAATAAATTAATTTTGTATCTCGTTTCTGCTCGATTTCCCGAAGCTGAAATTATTATTTAAATAATGAAGGAGGGAAAAGCTGCCAAAGTTCAGTGCTGGTGGTTTTTTCCTCTTGATATTAAGAATAGAATTCATCTGCAGCAACTGCAATCAAACCAAGATTCAAGTCAAGTAATTCCAGGCTTCCCTCAGCTGTAAATCAATCTCTTCTTGAGACTGTTTGAAATGCAGAATGCCTAGAGAAGTATCAGAAATATAAATCCCCACATTTACTAACGGCCAGAGACAAGGTGTAACTTACATAAACTCTGTGACCTATCTAAGCAACTGGGTAGAAACTGTATTTAAGTAGTGCCTTAGGCAAGAAAGAGTTGACATCTGGTCTTTTGCAGAGGAGGACAAAATGAGAAAGTTGGATGCAGTGTCCAAAGGCTTAAAAAAGCCCCGTAACACAAATTTGATAAACAAGTCCCTGAAAATAAATAGACAGTAAGACAAGATACTACGCAGTGGGCAGGAAAAGCTGTGATGCTTTAAACCCAACAGAAACGTCAAAAAGATGTTTCCCAAGGAAGTCTGATCCTTGCCAGAGCAAAAGGGCTCCATAAAAACCTCAGGACTGAAATACTTCCACTAGGGGGTAAGAGAGGTTCATCATCTGCAAGTGCAGCAGACTGGCAGGAAATGTTGGACAGAATTCAAAGGAGAATGGCTGGAGTATGAGAGAGGGACACGGGCTGGAAACATCGGAAAAATTCTTGTGACATTTAGGTAACGAAATGTACACTGGGAAGGAAATCTAATTGATTTGAACCTGTAAACATGGGTCTATAGCAGTGACAATAATTGATTGCTTAGGACATATCTTGTTAAATTTTAGGACTTGGGAGAAAAAAGTCAAATAACAAGGGGTGAGAAGCAGAGCACTTCCAGATCTGTTACCTGCAATGTATTAGATCCAAAGGGTGAATGAAGTGTAAGAAAGGCTCCATGCAAGTTCCCTCACTTGTGCTTCTTCACAGAGATGTAAAATCAGCTTTAGAGTAAATCCCCACCAATTCCACACCTTTCAGGGCACCTCTTGGGTCAGCTTGGGCAGCCAGCTCCAGGGACAAAGCAGCGACTGAGGACTTGGCCCTGGGTGTTTTAACACTGGCCTGTGGCTACGTGGTATTAACTTGGCTCCTATGACAATTCATCACTTATTGAAGAGGAAAAGCTGCAGAGAGAAATCACTGAACACCACACAACCCTAACAAGTCTAGAAGATGGTGAATGCTTTTCCTGTGCTACAGAATGTTTTCTTCCCCCTTAATCTCATTAACCAGCCTATGGTAGAAAGGCAGTAACTACCTGAAAATAAGAGGTCTGAATCCTTGCCCAGGAACTTAGCATTTTCATTCATTTTTACACAGTAAAAATTAAAAGCTTGTGGCCTCAATATTTAAAAACAATATTCAGCCACAGAGGCCTGGAGTTTGCAGCCAGTTCCATAAGCAAGCAATAACTCCTGAGCAAGCTCCGAGGAGATGCTGTGCAGCTCTGTACAGTGCAATTTCAATTTAAACACAACACACAGGAAAAGCTTTTCTCTGAAAGTGACACCTAATCATGGAACAGCCAGGTTCCCTCTGCCACAGTCCCTGCTTACAGGAGTTTACGGGATCACAGTGATCATCTCAGCCAGCTGAATATTTTTTGGCTTGTGCGTGCAAACAGCTACAGTTGCTCAAGCACAACCTTGGCTGCTGCCAGTATGGAAGCAAGAAAACAGCTTTAACACAGAGATAGGGCTTGCAAAGCAGGAAATTGAAATTCGTGGAATTCTAGGGTGGTTTGGGTTGGAAGGGACCTTAAAGATCATCCAGTGGCACCCCCTGCCATGGCAAGGACACCTCCCACTACTCCAGGCTGCTCCAACTCCCATCCAACCTGGCCTTGGACATTTCCAGGGATCCAGGGGTAGCCACAGCTTCTCTGGGCAACCTAAAGTCAAGTTTATGGTTACACAGATGTGGTTCTCATAGTACTGGACAGCATTTTACAAATAAAATCTCATCTCTTACATTTGAGGGGATACTAGTGCAAATTTTTCTACACACTTTGAAACAAACCAATGGCAAACCAATTCTATAAATTTCTAGTGCACAGGCCATTCCTGAAGGATTCATGAAGGATAAATAAGGGAAGGAAGTTTACTGACAGGGTTTAGTGCCACCTGAGTTATGAAACCCTCAGAGCATGTGACTGCCAGTACCACTGCAAGCAATTCACAAGTATCCTCCCTCCTTGTGCTGCCTCGTGATCACAAAATTGGGAGAAAACCTCATCACATGGATTTTGCTGCTCACCAGAACCTGGCACCTCCCAGTGGATTAATTTTTAATAAGTGGTAGGTGCAAATTATTCCAAGCCACTCCTTGTAGTTCCTATAAAGGGGAAGCAGCACCTCCCCCAGACTTTAACGGAGCAAGTTGTGGTGAGTGGTAGCACCAGGCCAGCTGTTGACACAGCAAGATAATGATTATCCTCTTGGATTTTTCCTGATGAGACTGCATCTGGCAGTCTGCCAAGAAGCAGCTAAGGAGACCATCTGAACAGTTTGGTTGTCATGTTGACAAAGCAACAATCCAATGTTCAATGCTTGGGTCTCTCTGAGATTTTGGAAAAAAACAATCAGTCAGTAAATCTGAATGGAATTCTGAGCTATGGCAGCTCTGCAAGGCATCTCTAGGATCTGGTGACTGCCTCTGCCCCTCCTCACCTTCACAGGCAGAGGAAAGGATTTGGGGATTAGTTCTGAGAAGCACCTCACAGGATGAAAAGCACAAAACAAAACATTTCCATGGCAAGGGATGTGCTGGCCACAAACCTTACCTGAACACAGGCACAACATGCCAGGTGTCACTAAGAGGTGATGAAAATGACACCCTGAGGCTGCCTGTCTGAGCTGGATGCCAGCCATGCTGAGCCAGCTGTACTACCTATTTTGATTAATTTTTTTCTGACTTTGCCTCGTTTCCTGGGCTGGGCTGTGTCGCCTCTGTCCGTGGTACTTAACCATGAAATTCCCCATCCATCAGGTGCACAGTTGTCTATGTGAAGTGAGCACCTGCCCAAAAGAGCCCTGGGAGCTTAAAATCTAGGCTTAGCTTTAAAATGTGTAGGCTGTCCTTAAGAACAACTTCAACACTACAATGAGCCACAAGAACTTGTAAAGGCTTGCTCACATTTGACTTTGGAAGTTACTTGATGCCAAGGGATAGAAGATGCTCTGCACATCCTCTTGCAGAAGGAATTCTCCCTCTGAGCAGGAGCTCTGACACCACCTGAGTCAGGGCCAGAGGGGATTATCACAGAAACCTCAACCACAAATGATACCATGAGCTCCCTCAGAGCTGAAATGACTGTCCACAATTAGTCATGGGACTAAGGGACTCAGGAAAGGTCCCAGTCCAGCCCTTAGGGACACCTGGGACTGGTGGCATCTCCAGACCACCTGTACGTTTCAGATACACACCATTTTTGTTTGCTGGGGGGGTTATGTTGCTTGAGTGTTGTTTATGTGCTTTTTAAAGCAATTAAAATATAAAACTGCTCTAAAAGTGTGTCCATCAACACAAACATTTCTGTCTCTCCTCCAAACACTCTCCATTCAACGGTACTAAAACACCTCTAACTTGCACCTCTGTTGTCTTCCTTCACATACAAGACATCACCACAGGCGCATGTCTAAATTTGTTAGAATTATGTATTTTACTTCAAATTAAAAAAATTTAAGTGATACTTATCACCCATCACTCCCAAACACATCAGCCATCCAAGGAGATGGTCACAGGATCAACATCAGAGGCACAAACAAAAGCAAAGAAACGCTGAACAGCACAAATATCTCAGAAGATGAAAGCAGCAAAACCAACATATCATTACCACGGTTTTATAGCACAGCAAAAACTCTGTGTTACTGATAATCCTTATTATCTATTTCACTACTTTTTTAAAAAAATTCCCTACTCCACGAGATATTTAAACAAATGCACAATTAAGTTCTTTTAGAAAGGGTAAAAATCAAAATAGCTCAACTAAGAATAGAACTGAATGCCACATGCGAGCCAGGAACAAAATGTAATCATGGGACTTTATAGGAACATCTAGGTCAGGCATCCTCAACTTGACTCATCACACTGAGCAGCTTAAAACTTCACAGCCACCAGGCAGGCAATCACTTTGTTCAGACAGATCAAAATGGTGTATCACCACCTAACAAGAGCACAATAAAGACTTGCTTTTTTGGGGTGAAAATAGTGCTGTCAACATTTGCTGTCTGAATGTAATGAGCATTTTGTTCTCTTCCTGTTAAAATGCAAATTAACTCAGTGTTTTCTTTCAAAAGCAATGGAAACGTTCAAATCTCTTTGTTTACTTTCCACACACAGGAGAACAGTAAACCAAAAAAATCTACTTGTGAATTATTTCCAGTGAGTCATTTTTTCTCATTTAAAAAAATACAAAAATCTTCTATTCATCACTTCAGGGCCTGTGGGAATGGGGAGAAGGGCTAAAAATTTACTTCATTTCTCATTTACTTTACTGAACACTGAAGTTCATGTATGAAAAGCAGAGCTCAGTGTCCTGACAAACTCAGTATCTTTGCACCTGAAGTAGACAAAGGTGTCAGCTTAAAGCCACATATTTTCAAGATTCAGGCTATGAAGATATGTAACTTGAAAAGATCAAAATGCAGAATGTTACAAATTTCCTGGAGAAAAGAAAATCTATTCTTTAAAAGCTCTGAGGACAACAAAGGGAACGTGGGTGTGCGCAGAGCAGCATCAGGCAACGTGCACCTGAATAAAGGAGACTGTCAACAAAATGAGCTGGTTCTTTCTTGGAAGCACTTGAGTAAATAACTGACTCCAGAGAATTAGAGCTTGGGCACTTTTCTCCCTTACTGGCATAACTAAATTAATGAGCAAACAATAACTCGTCACCACCAATAATTGACTTCAGAATTTCAGTAAAATTACTTGTTAAAAGTTAAGCCTGATCAAAAGAAGGAGGGCAGCCTAAATTGAAGATTAATTACCTTCCTGGGGTTTTTAGTAACTAGAAGAAGAGAAGGCTGGGACTGAACATAGAAAACATGAGAAATATTCATAACTTCTGTCCCATAGTGGTACACAGTGCAACTCAAATTTCAAATTCTGACTGGCAGGATGAAGATCAGGGTATTTGTAACAGGAAAGTGATGTGCTTATACATGCAGAAAGGCTTCTCGGGAAGAAAGGAACATTTTTCTCTGTCATTTGAGGAGAAAAGGCATGAAATCAGTTCTTCATGGTTATGTTACAGGCCTTCTGGGTGTTTTTAAAGACCTCTGTCATACAGAACTACACACAGGATTTGTAACTCTAGTGCTATGAATCACACAGAACTGGAGCCCTGCTCCCTCCTCTTCCTTTTATTCACCCTTTTCTGACATGTATTACAAATATAACAGGACAACAGCTTGGTCTCATCTTTCTGGTGAAAATAACTTCTGTGCCTCTACTCCAATTCTCTGCCTCTGAGTACCCTACCTGCCTTTCTGCAGATTATCTTTATCTTATGGCAATTTACACTGTGTGAAAATTACCAAGATCAGAATTTATTTTCTCCTTTCCAGGCTTAAAGAAGCTTTTTTTTGTCTTTGTTAGAGTTTCCAGAAGAGGTATTCTTAGTTCTTATTTTGCTGGTTTGTTTTTTTGTGTATTTTTTTCTTTTGAGGTGCTGTGTGGTTTCATGCATCAATTATTTGTATTGTGCTCAAGATGGAGAGTGTCGAATGACAGAAAGAACAGGAGAGCTGGCAGAAGTTTAACCTGTACAGTGTGGAGTTCACCTGGGTATGGAAGGTTAGTTAAGGATGCCAACCTGATCCCTCAAGTTGAACCTGGCCTTTCACCTCCATATTTCTCCTTTCACAATATTTCATCTTTCACAGTATATTTCTCATTTTACCAAGGGAAATGATTATGTTGTTATCCTCTCACCCATCCCTGAATCTTTCTTTGTGCCATCTGAGATAATGTCCACGTGGTCACTGTCCACATCGTAACTGAAGAAGTCGTTCAAGTAAGTCTTTGATCTCTGGCCACCAAACACATACAAGCAGCGATTTTTCTGGAAAAGGAGGGGAAAAAAAAATCTTTATGAGTGCAAGACAGTATGTTGGTCAACTGTGATCACTAACAGCAATATTTATCACAGAGTCATAAATGGTTTGGGTTGGAAGGGACATTAAAGCCCATCCAGTTCCAATCCCCTTCCATTATTCCAGGTTGCTCTGAGTCCCATCCAACCTGGCCTGGAACACATCCAGGGGCAGCCATTAATGAATCAAAGAGGAATAGAGATGTCTCTTCTAAGTTTAACATCACTGTGCTCAGGTAACTGATGCAGCCCTGCCTCATCCAGCTTTGACTTCAGCACATTAAAGCAGCAGCTCATCTTTCAGGTTTATTATTAAAGAATTACCAGGCCTTGTCTCTAAAGTCCATCATAAAATCACTGTTAAAAACACAACAGGAAGAAAAAGATAGACTGTAGGAGAAACCATCCAAGCACCAGCACATTACTAAATTCAGTACAGGCAAATGGCAAGGAGCAAGCCAAGAATAACAGGTTTATTGCTTCTTTCAAGTCTGCCAAGTGGAAAGTCCGTGAGAGGCAGATTATTTTTCTTTCAAATAGTTGAGAAAACAGAAAAGGACTTAAACTTCCATGACCTGTGCTTACAGAAATCAGTATTCTTACATTTACCACGGACTCCTATTTGAAAGATCCTCAAGTTCCTGTGCAGAATTTTGTGGGGCAATATGTTCTTCCACCAGATTTTAAAGAACCATTCAAAACAAAAATAAAATTAAAAGCTCAGAAAGCCCAGTATTCACTGTAAAAATTCTGATCTTTCACTTGACAGGGCAAGAGAAATAAAATCAGCAATTTCTTCAAATTGGTGGGTTTTGAGTTGATGGTATCAGTAAATATTTAAATGTCACAACATTCATTTCAATTCTCCTTAGTACTCTTAAATAGACACGTGGTTGATGAACACAACTGGAAACATATACCCAACATAGAAAAAAATGCTTATATACACCTTTCCCCCATCCGTCTGCTTCTCCAGGAGGAGTGGAGAAGCTCTGGATGAAGTGTCCATAATCCCAGCTGTTTACAGCTGTTTGCAGCTGCTCAGGACTACAAAGAGCAGCTGGATGCTCCAGCACCAAAGGCTCTGAGGCCTGTGCACATCAATGCACATCCATTAAGTCTCATTCCAGTAACAACACAGAAGCTTCTAAACTGCTCTTTGATATTCAAAAGAATACATTTTTAGATCAAAATGAACCACAGCCTTTGTTTCTATTTACTATTATTATATTAAAATCAACTCTTTAAAATTCACCTTATTTTTTACTTGAAATTTTATTCAGTTGGAGCCACGAAAGCTCCAAAACTTGAATCAGCACCTCCTGCACTTACCAAAGCAGCATCAGCAAACATTGAATTAACTGAGACAACACATCACTCAGGAGATTAAAAAGCTCAAAATTTGCAAGAAAAACCAAACCCAGATGTTCTCCCTAAAGTCAGACATGATAAATCAAAGCAGGGTGTGGATGCTTACAGAATGGAACAACATGCAGTGTCCTATCCGGGACTGGATATCCTCGGGTCCGGCGTTGCAGGAGTCCTCCCTCAGAAGTTTCCACGTCTGGCACTGGCAGTCAAAAGCAAACAAGCCACTGAACTGGGGCTCACTGGCTCTGCTGTCGTCCACACTGCCATTGCAGGTCAGGATTCGGCCCCCAAAGGTGTAGATCATGTGTTTTTCAGAATCCATGCACATCTGCAAGAAGCAGGGAAGCAGTTTTAAGCAGGTAAGACCTGAACACTTTGAGATCTAATATTAAACACTCCTCTCCTGCAAGCAATGCCTACTAAGATAAGACAATGCTCTGTACATCTGAGCCTCCAACAAATAGGACACACGCCTTCATGGTTGTCAGGTATTAATCTCTTAAAAGAAATTTAAAACACAAGTCTAATTTCTACATGCCATTTAATATGCAAAAGAAAAGACTAAATGTATCCTTCATCACCCAAAAAACCTGCTGATTTCAGGGAAAAGTATTTGAAAGTCTTTTACAAGGATTCACAGGGCTCTTTTCCATAGATTCCACAGAAAAGATCCATGGGGATCTTCCAAGCTACGTCCTTATAGCCAGAGTTAACAGAGTATCACCTCTGGCAATGGTTGTGTAAGGGAGAAATTCAAAATCACTGCTAATTCACTGCCCTCCAATCAACTGATGCAAAAAACAGTCTGTGATTTGTCACTGAGATTCCACCACATTTACTCTTACCCCATTACTGGAACACAAAGTAGGGACTTAACCCAGGCAAAGATTCCTCATGGGACTGCAGCAGAAACCTGTTTAATCTCCAAACCTAAACTGAGGTTATGGCACCCATGAGGAGCACTGCAGCACAAATTAACCAAACCCCCTGACTCCAGGTGATGTTTCAGACAAAGTGCAAATGGTTACAAAATACCAGAAGGGGAAAAAAAAAAGCAAACCAACAAACAGACAAGATTACAGTAAGATAGAGATGCTACTCAGCAAAGCCTACACAAAACACTTCTAGTGCAGCACATTTCTGAAGGTTGAATAAAAACTGCCATTGCAGTAGGTGCTGAGGGAGAGAAGAGGAAGAGCTGCAGACTGACAGAAGTCAGTGAGGCCCTTCTTCCCTGAGAGACAGAACAGGGAAAAAACGAATCATTTCAAGAGGCAAGCAAGGTACCCAGAGTAGCCTTGCCAGCTGACAATTTCCTTGTGCCTCTTCCCCAACACCTGGGAGACTGGCACAGGTTATTAATAGAACAGAAAGACTGATTGGCTTTTGTTCTGCAGACATGGTGTATCTTTAATTTTCGGTGTCAGCAGAAAGGCACATTGTGCTGGCAAACAACAGCTTTGGTTACAAAACAGCCAGTACCAATAAAAGCTGATCCTGGGCTGCTTTAAAAATGAGTCCTGATGTGCTGTTTCTTGGCAATGCTTCATAAAAAAAAAAAAAAAAAAAATCAATTGAGAACAAAATACCTTTTTCAAGTAGACAAAAGCCACTGAACACGACATAAGTAAAGAAGTTTTCAATTCGAACACGTGGACAGATGTGACTTTTTAAAGGATTAGTAGTCATTCCTCTAAGGTGTTTTAAGCTCTACAAAGAAAGCATATTCTACAATTTTTAAAGGTAACCAATTTGGAAAGGATCCTGCTCCTGTGCTGGCCTCAGTCCAGCAGCTTGCTTGGAGTATTCTTCCAAAGGTAGCATACACAGCTTTAAAAGTTGCTCCCCAAGGCCCTCCAGGCAAGGCATATCTGCAAACCCAGCTCAAGGAGACTGATTAAAACCAGATGAACTGTGCTTTGGGCTTTAATAAAACGCGTCTTAATAAAATGTATTTGTTTGCAAAGGTTTTTATGATTCTTCTGACTCGGTTTGATTAGAGCCCCAGCAGCCAGTGGCATTGAGCAGCACTGCTATTAGGATTTAATTGAGTGCAGATCACACTCTCTTCATCCCTGCTCTGTTACCTGCTACAGCACCTCAAAATCACAGAGACTACAATCAAAACTGACTTTTAAACACTGAGAACCTGCAGCAGGATGATGAGTGCATTGAAACAGGATGAGCCCTGTGGCAGGGAGAAATTATGAGGAAGACTCCATCTTATCAGAAGGCTAATTAATTACTTTATTATACTATATTAGTCTATATTATATTGCATTATATTACATTACATCTAAACTGAATCTGCCAAGCACTCAACACTGCACAGAATCTCATGACTGTCAGTGACAGTCCCAACACACACACACACACACCTGGTCCTGGCAGGCCAAGGAAACAAAACACCATCACTGTGGGTAACCCATCTCCATGTTGCATTCCACTTTTGCACAAACACAGGCACAGCAAACATGCTAAGAAAATTTTTGGGAAGAAATGTGCCTTGCTTTTCTCTGTGAAGAGAAACGTGGAGCTACACACTTGGCCCTGGCAGGCCAAGAAAACAAAGCACCATCACTTTGAGTAACCAATCTCCATACTGCATTCTAATTTTACACAAACACAGGCACAGCAAATGATAAGAATTGTTTTTCCTTTCTCTGAGGTTCATAGAATGTGAAACCCAGAAATATTCTTGGGAAGAACTGTGCCTTGCTTTTCTGTGTGAAGAGCAATGTGGTGACATGAGTGTGGCTGACCTGATGATCAAACACCAGCTTGGGGCCTCCATCTGCTGCAGTGTCCTCGCTCAGCAGCATCCAGGTGTTGGTGTCGATGTCGTAGCGGTAAAAGTCACTTTTCAGGGACTTGCTGTTCCTCACAGAGGAATCCAGGTACCTCCCCAGGGTGTAGATCTGCCTTCTCTGGATGTCAATGCACATCTTGTGACAGGACCTGGCACTGGGACCGCTCTGAGAAAGCAAAGGACCAGAAAAATGTAGAGAATAATGGATTTGATATTGCTCCAGGTAGGTCGCTAAGGGGAAATAAGTATTAGCAGCAGCTAGAAATCCTTGGGGAATTCAGGAAAATCTGTAATCAAATACATTATTAATATATACTAACTACAAGAGCACATTCCATAACTTCTGTTCTTCTAGAAAGACAGCAGCAAAAAATTGCAATGCATTTGTCAGAACAAAGTTATGATTTGAACCTTTTTCTGTCAGATTACTTAGAAAACAGATAGTTTCACCACAGAAATGAAGAGAATAATGAATTTAATATTGCTCCAGGTAGGTTACTAAGGGAAATTAAGTATTAGCACCAGCTAGAAATCCTTGGGGAATTCAAAAAAATCTGCTTGTAATCAAATGCATACTAATTACAAGAGCATATCCCATAACTTCTGTCCTTTAGAAAGACACCAGCAAAAAACCTTAATGCATTTGTCACAACAAACTTCTGATTTGAACCTTTTTTGTCAGATTCCTTAGAAAACAGACAGTTTCTCCCAGAAGTGATCCTCAGAGGCGTGTGAAAACTACTTGATCTTTTAAAATAACAGAAGTCGATGCACATGAGAGGCAAATTAAGATGTCACGGCCTATAAATAACTACACAGGAAGAAGATTAAGAAGTGCTCTATTACAAGAGGCTCTGTTTTATTAATAGGCTGTTTTCTAACAGATGATAAGCAGACACTCCCCCAAGCAATCATATCCCATAATGGCTCTGGGAAGGTAACAAAAGCACTCCCTGTCCTTCACAAATAGATATGGCCCTCCCAGGCTCCAGCTGAAAGAAAGTTTCCCACGGTAAGCAGAACTGCCCTGAGTTATGATCATCAAGAGAAACACACAGAGTGCCCCATGTCAAATTATTATGGGCTTAATCCATCCAGGAGTGCTCAAGTTAAATCATGGAGTAATTTACTTAATGACATTATGATGATGATTATGCAGGCCTGGCCAGTTTCCTTTCTGCATCCCGAATCTCTTTTTAAGGGTTTTCATATGCTTCTTCTTGAAGCACGAGAGTGATGTGCTGGTACACCAAAACATTAGAAATCAACGCTTGCAAAGCCTTATGTGCAAAATATCAGATGAAAAACATCATATCATGAGTAGAGATCAATTCTGTAGTTTATTTTGACACAGCTGGGTGCAAGACACAAAGAATGGCTTCCCACTGACAAAGGGCAGGTTTAAATTAGATATGGGGAAGAAATTCTTCCCTGTGAGGGTGGTGAGGCCCTGGCACAGGGTGCCCAGAGAAGCTGTGGCTGCCCCTGGATCCCTGAAGTGTCCAAGGCCAGGTTGGACAGGGCTTGGAGCAACCTGGGACGGTGGAAGGTGTCCCAACCCATGGCAGGGCATTGGAATGGGATGATCTTTAAGGTCCCTTCTAACCCAAACAATTCTGGGATTCCATAAAAAAAAAAAAATCTATTCAAAGTCATTGAAAAGTAAAGATAAGGCAAGTAGGCAAGAATACAGCAAATCTTTAAAATCATTATTGAAGACTTATAGTTAAAGAAGAGTAGCCATAACACACCAAATAATCAGCACAAGAGTTGCTCTGTGTACTACCTTATGTGGAATGTCTTATGAAAAATATCTTCATAATGGTACCCTTTCACTTAAATTCTATTGAAATTTAAAGTACACTAATGGAATGCACATCACTAAATTGGATAAAACAAGAAAGGAAGCATTACATCTTTGTTGCCAAAAGCCTTTACTATTCATGTTACAGAATTCAATTTCTTGATTAAGAAATGGTTCCAGGAAAGTGTTTACAGAAACTCAAAAGACGTGAAGAGGTGAACTCAATTGTTCATATTTTGTCAATATGAAGCATTATGTCAGCAATGATTACAGCTTTGAGGATTAGTGACTTCATGGTAATTAGGATAATTTTATTTTCTGAAAATAAAAGTACTGATAGCAGTGAAATATTAGCATAAAATCCTGAAATGCAGCAAAAAACTCACTGATTGCCTTTGGTCATGAAGGAAGATTACATAGAAGGCAACAACACAATTATTTTTGTTCCTAGAAAATACAAAATATCTCTCATCTCTATGTGGACTAAATTAAATCCTCTCAAACTTGTTCAAATAATGTCTTTGGCACTTTCAGGAGTAAATCTCCAATTTAGCAATTTCCAGATCTGCCTTGCCATGAAAAGCTACACCATCAACCAAAATTTGTCTGAGCAGAGACACAAGGCTGAGACACTTCACAACTCAATACCCATTTCAAGGCAATGGCACCAAAACCACAGTTGTTACACTAAATATGCAACATCCAGATTTCCTAGGACTGTTTTAAAATGAGGAAAGAATTTAGGGAAGATACCTTTCTTTCTTTAATTACATCCTAGCCACATCTCACACAGTAAAAATCTGCTTTCTTAAAGAGCTCTTATGTTAAACATTTCATCTCTACAGACACAGAATTTTCATCACCCCAAGTTCATGCAAGAACTTCAGCTCTACCAAAAACTGTCTCTTGTAATACAAGAAACTTCATCCAATTTGAAACCTGTTCTCCAAGAAGACTGGATTTCTGCCTGCACGCCACTCACAAGGTCACAAGGAACCTGCCAAAGTTTTCTCCTTAGCCTGTTTACCAAAATGAGTAAATAACTCCATTAACAGTGATACATGCTGGCTTGACATTTAAGGCAGAAAAGGGGAAAGGTCCAAATCCGTGTTCACTTCTGAGTTCAGCTTGACCATGGCAGCCCTTGCAGCTCATATGTACTTCAAAAAACCACAGAGTTCAGTTACAAAGACACCACAAAAGAGTAAAATGCTTCAAGGCACATGTGATGAATCAAGTGCCCGTGGGTGGCTCTGAGGGTTTATCCAAAGCCGTGAGCTCTGTGTGGTTACAACAGCAGCCTGTTGTTTAGGGGAACACTCTGCCCCACCTTGTCATGGACACAGCAATCCAGTCAATTCAAACTGGAAAATCTGTTGATTCCGCAAGTGTTCAAAGAATCTGACTCTTTAAAAGTAATGAGTGAGAAAAACTGATCATGACAGAGACGACTCTCTAACCCAAGGGTGAAGAGATTAAGCATGGCTACAGGGCATTGCCCTTTTATCCTCCTGCCAGGACGTAGGCTGATCATGATCCATTAATTAATGTCTCAGGCTGAGTGGATCTTACTAGAGATCTCTAAGCTCTTCTTCAAATTCAGGTCTTATCACCAAGTCACAGTTTTGAGAAGTTGTTTCTGTGACTGTCTGAACTCATAACAAACCTGTGCAAAACTCCTCATCTCTGGAAGTGTTCAAGGCCAGTGGATGGGGCCCTCGGCAGCCTGGCCTAGTGGAAGGTGTCCTTGCCCATGGTAGGGGGTAAAACTAGAGGGTCTTTAAGGTCCACCCCAACCCAAACCATTCTGTGATTTTATAATTAAGTACTTTACTTTAGATCTGGTTTCTTCTAAGTTGTTACATGTGGAATCCACGTTTTTGCAGATGAAGCTTCACAAACTGATTGACTGAGGTAGCAGAGTGTCACTCCCCAAACAGAGCCCATCTTCCATAAGACTCTGAAAGCCACATCCAGCAACAGCACCCAAAGGACCTGAACAAACTCTGCCTCTGGGGACTCCTTCCAACTCTCATCAGAAAGCTCCTGGCACATACACTGCAGAAACCACACGTGAAAGGGGCTTGTGACTGGGCTAAGTCCTCATTCAGATGGCAATAAGTGTGTCAGGCTGCTTTGGCCAGTGCCTCAGCTGCTGCCAAGGCTGTGATGGCAAGAGGAAAGCATTAGCATATCACATTTCTAACCTACAGGACACCAAACAATACCAAAAACTGCTAAGCACAGGCACTGCTGGGCTTGTGTGGGACTCAATAAGTGCCTGCACAGAGCCAGGAGTGACCTGAACAAAGTGGCTCCGTGCCACCCAGCCCCACCACACAATCAGCACAGCACAATAACAGCTAAAACAGATTAAACACCATGTGCAGGGTCCTGTTTGGAAGTGCTACAAAATACCAAGCTTTATGCCCAGCTCCAAGGCTCTTCTTTAAACAGGTTGGTGTTGATGTAACTCCTCTGGTCTCTCCAGCACAGATAAATGCCCTGGTGAGGGTGGGATGGTGGGGAAAGGAAGAGAGGCTGTATGGCCAGGAGCACTTAAGAAAGGCTTTCAATCCTTTAAGCACCCAGGGCCAAATAGGATTTTTAGGTTTCGTCAGTGCTACACGAAATTCAATTGTGCAATGCCAAGTGAATACACAGTATACTTTATGAAAAGCCTTCTCAACATGCTAAGCCACTTTATAAAATCTAATTAGAGCTTTCTTCATTTAACTTGCAAATGCTGAAAGCAATTATCCCACTTAAGGACTAACTTACAAAACGTTTTCAAAAAGCAACACAACAGCACCGAGAGACAACACCGCCTCCTTGGAATAATTGATTTGTTCCTATACAGGGGAGAAAGGATTGGGACTCAACTCCTTAGGGTAGGGTCTGCTCAAACCACTATTTATGCCAGAATCAGCAGGCATCATCTTAGCAACAGCATCCTGGAATGCTACATTAAGGCACAAACATGATAGCTTTCATTTTTTGGTTTGTTTTTAAATAAATGTCCTATGAACCTCCTTTAATGAGAACATGACCGCAGGAAGCCGGTTCCACTGCCCATCCCAAACAAAAACCGGGGGAGCTTGGCTTCTTCTGGTTATCATAACCTTTTGCAAATAAAGGGGTTTCAGTTGCAAGAAAAATCTGTTTTATTCAGACCAATCCAGATGAAAAACCTCAGGAGCAAGCCTGGATCCTGTTCAAGAGTCAGGGAAATAAAAACAAAGAACAGCTGACTAATTCTCCGTTCCTGGTCCTGTAAAAGACTGAGTGGAATGTGAACACTGCCTCCAGTATGAAGTTCAAAAATAAGCGTCATGAGGTAAATGCTCTTGTCCTAAAGCAAA